AGATAATTTTAAATGACATTTATTTTGAACGAAGAAGACAATAATTCTACTGTCAAGGGGAAGCTGTCATAATTTCAAGGAATCCTCAATGCATAGATGGTATGGCAATGCCAGATTCACAGTGGTACCCTTAAAACCTTAATGTGGAAGATATTATATTTTTTCTAGGGTTCAAAGTTTTAAATTTTAATACTTCCTAGTTTCCTGCAGTAGAAGTGCAGAAGTCACTTTTGTAGCGAAATCCAAACATTGTAAAGAATAATTATATATATGTGTAATCTGCCATACTGTTAACAGTATGTATATAATGTTAATGGCTAATAGTTCAATTATCCAAAGTTTACTTTTTAAAAATTAAAGTATTGACAACTGAGCACATTGCAAAGAAAACATAGGCGGTTTCAGGGGGGAGGGCAGTCCATTACCCCCCATAGTGAAATTAGGGGGGATGTGTACACCCCTGGATTTTTACAAAGGCTTTTGACAGCTGTAATAGGTCATCTATGACCACCCTGTACTTAAAGGTAAAAGAAACTGTAATATTATAATAGGGTTAGGAGGATATAAATAGAAACTTTTAGCATTTGAGATGGGGGTAAGGTTTTTTAAAAGATTTCAGCTGGGCTGAGGGGGTGGATAAAAATTTTCTTTATGTGTGAGTAGATTTATTTAGGGTCTTTAATGTTTGTGTACATATTTGTGTATGTTTTTGTATGTTTGTGTATGTTTGTGTATGTTGTGTATGTTTGTGTATATTTGTATATGTTTGCGTATGTTTGTGTATGTATGTGTATGTTTGTGTATGTGTGTGTATGTTTGCGTATGTCTGTGTATGCATGTGTATGTTTGTTTATGTTTGTTTATGTTTGCGTATGTTTGTGTATGTCTGTGTATGCATGTGTATGTTCGTGTATGTTTGTGTATGTTCGTGTATGTTTGCGTATGTTTGTGTATGTCTGTGTATGCATGTGTGGGTAAATTTTTTTTCGCGCAAATATATTTTGTCAACCCTCCCCCATCTTTAATCCTGAAGCCGCCCTTGAAAGAAAATTTGTACACAATTTATCTCCCCCCATCCTAAAAAAGCTGCATATGCCCCAAAGTGACAATTCAATCTACTTGATTCTTTTGGTCCTAATCTAATTGCATATATATGGAACTAAGCTCGAATGACCCTGCTCATCAAATTCCAATTAATTTGGACAGTGGACACAAACAACCTCTACCCCTCCCCTTTACCCGGGGCATTTACCCTTCCCCCCATTCTTCCAAGAAATCCAAACCCTCCCAATTCCCTCCCCCCATATTAATTTCTCAGTGGGGACTTTTGCCAATGGTGCTGCGGTTGTTCAGAAATAAACTGAAAACTCATAAAACTAAACTTGCAAGAGAATTGGTGAGGTCGTCTTTACGGAAGTATTATTTTCCGACAATTTTTTTTCTGCAAAGTCTTGAAAACACTTTTGGATAATAAATCATTTTTTCGGTAAAAACCATTTTTTTGTGACTCATGGAAAATGAACTCATAAAAATCCGTTTTACAGTAGTCAGCTGGGTGCGGTTTTTTAATAAAACCAAAACAATAATCAGACTCTTGACAATTGTTACTCCGTGAAATAGTGATCACTTTCACTTTTCACGTGGCCAATACAACTTTAACATCTATGATCTATTCATGACCGCGTGCACCGAAAGCGTTCACATTCGATTAGTGACAAATTAACAGATGTTAACTGATTAGGTTCCATTATTATTTTATTATAATGTGTAGGAATTTCTTAGAGAAAGATTTTTGGACCTGTCTTAGAGAACAAATTTTGATCCTTCTCCATGCTCTCCTTTTGTTTCAATTCTGCCCTCGATTTCAAGAGTAATTATCTCAAAGTTAATTATATTCATTTTATTTCTTCATCCCGAGGGTAGGTTAACGGTTGGGGAATTTTCTGGGTCGAGCGCTGCAGCAATGACAGACTAGGGGGCCGAACGCCAATGCTAGGGCAGGAAAAAGGGCCGAGTGACGTAAAGGTTATTCTGCAATACGCCATGCATAATTCGTATTTTGGATTTCAAGCTATTTTTGCTCAATTTTGTGGATGAACTATTGGGGTCTGTCCTAGAGAACGATTTTTGGACCCCCCCCCTCCTCAAGCCTCGCTTGTACATGACCAATATCTAATATTTATCAACAAAATTAATATTTATTTTTTGTATTATTTCATGTAAGGTGGGTCCGTCCTAGTATACAAAAATAAAGTTACCCCCTCCCCTGACGAATAAGTTTTAACTTAAAAAATATCTAACAATTTAACTATAGATTAAATAAATTTTATATAAGTTACTAATTGGCTTAGATTAGTTTGGGGTAATATGAGTTTAGGGCCGAGTGCCGCGACAAGGACAATGTTACAATTCACAATATTAACATAATTCATTTTTATAATTACAAATAAGCCGATGGTTTGGAGCTGAAATCAATTTTTGAGCCGAGCGTCGGGGCTGTATCAGTTGAGCACTACGGCTAGGACGGACTTGTGTTAGAATCGAAATCTTTGTATGTATTTACCGAATTTACTAAATCTGCAACGAACAATATTTATTTAATTTTAATTTTGATTTAACAGAATAAAAACCTTCATTTTTTTATTTTCTCTAACGCTACAAAACTCACGCTCATACTATCCCCCCTCAACAAAGATACTTCCTTATTGCTGGTGCGTGGAAGGAAAGGGATATTGTCCCCTCAGCCCTTCTCTCTTCCAAAAATCAATCTCTAAGAATGTGCAAGATAATACCAACTCCTTTTACTTGACGCATAAGAAATGTGATATCGTAAAAATTTAAACTTTTAAATCTTGAAAATGCATTAAGCTATCAGATAACAAAAATTGTAAAAAAGTTTATCATAGAAAAAAATATTTGACGGGTGTATAGCATAAAAAAACTTAAAATATAGGCAAAAACTTGTATTGTAGGAGAAAAAAAAATTTTTATTGAAAAAAACGTATATTATGAAGAAAAAAAATTTTATAAGGAAAAAACATATATTATAGGAAAAAACTTCTATTCTCGAGAAAACGTATATTATGGAAAAAGCTAACTATTGAATTTATAAGAACACGGCAAATGCTGAATTGAGACATCATTTAAAGAAAAGGAGAATATTTTGTGAATTCTAAGAATTTGATTTCTCAATGTCAAGTTTACATTTTCAAGGTTTAAGGTTGACTTTCTCTGGGTCAGTGTTTTCAGAGGGTATTAGAGTTAGAGAAACTCGTCTTGTAATTTCCTAGGATCAGTTTTTGATCCTTTTACAGAGTCAAAAACGAACGGGGGGGGGGGGGGAATTGCATAAATTCAGCAAAAAATTATTTGACAAAAAAGTATGTGTAGGGCTTTTGTGGATTTTTCAATGTTTATTTTTTGTTCGTGTTTGTTTAAAAGTTGTTTATGTTTGTTTAGGTATTCGTAGATTTGTTTAATGTTTGTTTATGTTTGTGTAGATTTTCAACTCTGTGTATGTTTTTGTAGATTGTTTAGATATTTTATGTTTGTTTAGATTTTTATTTTCTTTATGTGTGAGTAGATTTATTTAGGGTCTTTAATGTTTGTGTACATATTTGTGTATGTTTTTGTATGTTTGTGTATGTTTGTGTATGTACGTGTATGTACGTGTATGAGTGCGTATGTTTGTGTATGTGTGTATGTCTGTGAGTACCTGAATGCAAGAGTTCAGTTTAAGTTGTCTGGAAAGCTCTCATAGCTTTAAACTGTCAGTATCAGGTCCAATCCCTGTACAGTGTAGACATAATAGAACAAGCGTATCTCTTAAACACAATGNTGTATGTTTGTGTATGTTTGTGTATGTACGTGTATGAGTGCGTATGTTTGTGTATGTGTGTATGTCTGTGAGTACCTGAATGCAAGAGTTCAGTTTAAGTTGTCTGGAAAGCTCTCATAGCTTTAAACTGTCAGTATCAGGTCCAATCCCTGTACAGTGTAGACATAATAGAACAAGCGTATCTCTTAAACACAATGACAGTTTAACAATAGAATGAGGTATTATAGTTGTTTATATTTTACTGTGACAAATAAGGACAGCTAAGAGAGTAAGCTGTCTTATCAATTTTCGTTTACAAATGGTTTTTGTTTAAAAAACTAGTTCTATGATTTGCCATGATACTTGACACTAAAAATGTAAAAAAACCCCATTTTTTCTTTCCTTAATTCTTTACTGCTTTGCTAAAACTGAAAATGCTCTTAAGTTAATCTTTTTTGAAATGTTTTTTGTGTGTATTTTATTTTTTTTCTTCAGAAATTAAGAAAAATGATGTTTAAATTAGCACTCTTCATTGATTTTTTAAATTATCATGATATTATTTCATAATAAAGTTAAAATATTTTTTCATTTAACTCACTTTTAAGACAAGATTCTACTGGGCAACAAAGGTACGACGCGGTACGTTTCAGAACATTCGGTACAGTACAATTTCACCTGACAGTACAGTACAATTTCACCTGGCAGTACAGTACAATTTCACCTGACAGTACAAGAAATAGGTCAGATTAAGGATTAGATTAATGTTTAATGTTTATCCGACACATCTTTTTTCCTATCAAATGGCACAGCAAAAATTTCTTACATTTCCAACACTTAACAAGCACTTCTATCATTGTGTTAAAAATATTTAAAATTAATGAAAATACAGTTCAACCCATCGAAAACTCCGTTAGGATTTGGCTTGGCAATTTTCACATCAACTGTAAAGAAATGACATTTAAATAATAGAAATAGAAAATCTATCGTAAAATATGTTTTTAATAGAACCTAATAAAACTAAAGATAGAATTTTATAACACTGGTAATGAATGTCATCTTAACAAAATCAGTAACACAAGGAATTGCTAATGAATTTCTTTAAGGGAAAAACAATGTCAATATTTTTCAGGAATATTTTTTCAACTTCTATTATTATGTTGCTTTATTTGTTATTTTCTTTCAGATATTTAGATGCAAAACTGCTTTAGAGCTGGTGTCAGAGGATCAAGTTTATTAAAAGTAAGTTTAAATAATTATCATCCAATTTTGATCAAAATATTATGAAGAATTTTTACTTAAAATTTCAGTAAAATTAAGATGAACGTGTTTTCAGAAATTTCTGTAAAATATTTTAATATTTTAAAAAAATATTTAAAAAATAAGAAAAAGTAAAAAAAATTCAAAAAACTTGACAATTTCTGTTTAAAAAATCTACAAAAATCTACACTTCTTGAATAGTTTGTAACTTCATATTTCAAGAGGTTTGGTTTAGTGTCTGGATACTGTGCACAAACTATCGAAGGAAGGTGTATAAACTATCATATAATACATAATTGGATTTTTTTCTTTATTGTTTAAGGAATTGAGTTTTTGACACAAACTAACATTTTCTTATCCTTATATCTATACAACCTAATGGTTTAAACTTTTGATACTTCAAACTCAGATTATTTGATCTAAAACTGAATTCAAAGTTTAAACTATCCAAGGTCTACGACATTGGGTTGAAAAGAAATGGGGGATAGAAATCCAGAGTTTTACTTATGAACACCGCTTTTTGATATTTATTAATCTATAGGATATATAATACTAGGCGACATAGTCAGTCTTCTTAACTTTTCATTGTTTCTATTACTTCCCTTGCCTTGTTTCCCTTCGTTCATAGTCTTCTTAACTTTTCATTGTTTCTATTACTTTCCTTGCCTTGTTTCCCTTCGTTCATAGTCTTCTTAACTTTTCATTGTTTCTATTACTTCCCTTGCCTTGTTTCCCTTCGTTCATAGTCTTCTTAACTTTTCATTGTTTCTATTACTTGCCTTGCCTTGCTTCCCTTCGTTTATGTTTGAAAAATATCAATTTCTGTTTTCGTCAATTGATTTCCAAAAAAGGTCTCAAGAAGGTCAAGGTTTATCCGTTTATTGGATAAAAACCATAAAATAAAAAACGCAAATACAATAAATATGTTTATCACCCTAACGAAAGATATGGATTCAAAATGTCTGTTCCGCTCTTCTCCGATGAAGGAAGCACAGCCGAGGAGTTCTCCGTTTATAATAGGAGTAGCCGGAGGGTCAGCTTCTGGTAAATCTACAGTTTGCGAGAAGATTATGGAGAATCTTAGGAATAAACTCATAATAAACTCGTAATAAATACATAATAAACTCATAATAAACTCATAATAAACTCATAATAAACTCAGTAAATTGACGATGGAAGTATTTTTTAAATGACATTTTATTTAAAAAGACTACATGCACGGAAGTAAGGAAAGTTGTTCATAAGTTTTTTTCCTGACTATTTCCTTCTTGTTTCTGCTGCAGAAATAAGTTAAATATCGATACGTTCAAATATAAATATAAAAAAACATTTTCTACTCAGACAAAAGTTAAATGGGCACGGGCATGTAAATCTTGAAATATATGGGGTCACAAATATTTACGTCGATTAACCAAAAGTTGGATTTTTTCTAAACATCTTCTTTCTAGGACTACAAAAGAATTACCAACTGGATGTTGAATCTATATATATTTCTATATTTATATGTTAGCTATAGCTGGCCAAACGGCTGAACCAAATTGGCTGACATTTTTTTGAGGGAACCCATAGGCTAAACAAATAGTTAAAAAAATGTTAGTTCCAAGGACAATGCCGCACTTCAGTTAGTAATATATATTGTTCAGCATTTTAAAAATGTATTTTTTTGAACGAAAAATTGAGTTGTTTGTCTTGTAGAGAATACAACCTGGAGATTGCTGAGAAGAAAGTTGTTCATATATCACAGGTCTGTAACATAGGATTATTGGATTGTTCATATATCACAGGTCTGTAACATAGGATTATTGGATTGTTCATATATCACAGGTCTGTAACATAGGATTATTGGATTGTTCATATATCACAGGTCTGTAACATAGGATTATTGGATTGTTCATATATCACAGGTCTGTAACATAGGATTATTGGATTGTTCATATATCACAGGTCTGTAACATAGGATTGGATTGTTCATATATCACAGGTCTGTAACATGATTATTGGATTGTTCATATATCACAGGTCTGTAACATAGGTTCATATATCACAGGTCTGTAACATAGGATTATTGGATTGTTCATATATCATAGGTCTGTAACATAGGATTGGATTTCTTTCTTTTTCATATCCTTCATTTTTTTAACAAGAAATAGTTAACGATAATTTTTTTAACAAGAAATAGTTAACGATAATTTTTTTTAACAAGAAATAGTTAACGATAATTTTTTTTCTTATTTTTTTAGTTTCAAAGAAAATCCAGAAATAATTTATTGAAAATAAAATCTTTTTGTTCACTTTTTTGTTCACTTTTTTGTTTCAAATCTAAATTGAAAAAAAGTTTTCTCTTAGATTATGACTATTTTCTATTTTGCTTCCTTTTTCTTCGCTACCCTCTTTTAATAACTTGAATTTCTATCATCAAAATATTTTTTAGTTTTGTTTAGTGAATTGTAATCAATTATTATGAATTCTCTGTTTAAAAAAGTGTAATCCAGTGATAACCGAAATATAATTATCTGTATCTATCTATCTAATTGGCAGCCTTGAACCTGCTATAGTATTCTTTTGTCCATGTAGGCTTATAATTTTGGTATATTTTCAGAACCTATAGATCCGGATCTCGTTATAAACGGATCCGAATCCGGATTCTTCTCCCTAAACCTTTTGTTTTGTTTTTAGGATTCATTTTATCGAGATCTGAAGGAGTCCGAGAAGGAGAAGGCAGAGAAAGGATTATATAACTTTGATCATCCAGACGCATTCGATATGGAACTCATGGAGAAATGTTTAAAGGTTCATACTTCTTAAAGAGACTGTATTGTATTTTAAGTGATTCTACATATAAAAGGTACTTGCTCAATTCACAACGGTACCCTGATCATGAAAAATATGGAAAATATCGTCTTGAAAAGTCTATATCTTGAAAAGTGTACACATTTTTAGAAGTAAAAGAACTAATTAATTCTTGATGATACGGTGTGAAGCGACACAACACTTTACAAATGGAAAGTTACTTAGAATTACGTTTAAAGTCTCTTAAAGTTATCTATCTTTTATTAATTCAAAGTTTTTTTTGCTTCCATATCATTTCATCTTTCAGTGTTCTCTTTCATATTTCATCATTCCTTTCGCCTTTTGTACATAGACAAACTTTTTTACATTGTCAATGTCTTGTTGTTAGGCATAGTTAATTTTTATTTAGTTTAATCTACCTTTAATTGAAAATCGCAAAACCATCATTTTATATTTGAAGTATGGAAGTAGGAAATCCCTGACAGTCTGATTTGATCTGATCTGATTCCACGAAAATATGTCTTTATTTAGGATATATCTGAGGGTAAATCAACTAGAATTCCTCAATATGATTTCAAGACCAACTCCAGGATAAGAGATAAGTTTACAAATGTTCTAGCTTTCGAGACTGACGTCATTCTTATCGAAGGCATTCTGGTGTTTTATCAACCAAAAGTTAGTTTCTTACATTCTTTGTATTAACAACCAAAGCTTTTTGTTAAAAATATTTTTTGTGACTAGCAAACTGTAATTTTCTATAAACTATTATGACTTTAAAGAATATGTATGTATTATGTATATGACCTAGTGTATAGTTTAATACTTCGAAATAACATAATTCACCCTGTATGGTTGGGTATACTTCTGGACTTCGGTTCTGCCTCCCCACGGGTGATACCTCATCTGCGGATGGCCTGGGGGGCCGGGTGTCCACCCGATGGCGGTCTGGGTTCTCCNTTACAGCTTTATGTAGAAATCATATTTTACATCTAAATATCAGAATATGTTCTGGGTTCTCCAACTTGGGGGGCTTTGAGATCTTTCTCCTGATACTCCTGATGTACTTTTATGTGCCATGAATAACGTTGTTTGTATTTTACTGTTGATGACATGAATCAGCCAGCAGTCTGTATTAATTATGAATCACCCTGTTATATTCATCTATGTTCTATTAATCACACCGTATGTACCTTGTTCTGACGAATATCCCTACATGTACATTTCTTTGAAATGAATCCCCTGTATGTACTTCTAAATGACATGAATAACCCCGTATATGTACTTCTTAATGAAATGAATCACTCTGTATGTGTACTTCTTTATGAAATGAATCACCCTGTATGTTTACTTGTTTATGAAATGAGGCACCCTGTATATACCCCTAGGTCCGTGAGATGTTTAACATGAAGATGTTTGTCGAGACAGACGCCGACACAAGGCTCGCCAAGCGAGTTATCAAAGATACAGAGGATCTAGGCAGAAATATTGACCAGGTATTATTATTATTATTATTATTATTATTATTACTATTATCGATATTATTGTTTTAAAACTGTTAACATTGTCATTTGTATAATTAGTCTCAATAGTATAATTGGTATCATTAGTATCAATAATATCATCAGTTTCATCGGTATCAATTATAATCATTTGTATCATTTGTAACATTTGTAACATTTGTAACATTTGTAACATTTGTAACATTTATATCATTTGTATCATTTCTAACATTTGTAACATTGCGTCATTTTTAACACTTGTTTCATTGGTAACATTTGTAGATTTTGTCTCATTTTTCTAAATTGTCTCATTTGTAAAATTTGTAACATTTGTAACATTTGTAACATTTGTCACATTTGTCTCATTTGTATCATTTGTAACATTTGTAACATTTGTATCATTTGTAACATTTGTCTCATTTGTATCAGTTGTAACATTTGTAACATTTGTATCATTTGTCTCATTTGTCTCATTTGTAACATTTGTCTCATTTGTCTCATTTGTCTCATTTGTCTCATTTGTCTCATTTGTAACATTTGTAACATTTGTAACATTTGTAACATTTGTATCATTTGTATCATTTGTAACATTTGTCTCATTTGTCTCATTTGTCTCATTTGTCTCATTTGTCTCATTTGTAACATTTGTGACATTTGTGACATTTGTAACATTTGTCTCATTTGTCTCATTTGTCTCATTTGTAACATTTGTAACATTTGTCTCATTTGTCTCATTTGTCTCATTTGTAACATTTGTAACATTTGTGACATTTGTGACATTTGTAACATTTGTAGTATTTGTCTCATTTGTCTCATTTGTCTCATTTGTCTCATTTGTCTCATTTGTCTCATTTGTCTCATTTGTCTCATTTGTCTCATTAGTCTCATTAGTATCATTAGTATTATCAGTATCATTAGTATGATCTTCATTATATGAGGTATTGCATCACTACATAAACTTCGTGAAGCCTGCGTATGAAGAGTTTTGTATGCCAACCAAGAAGTTTGCTGATGTTATTATACCACGAGGCGCTGATAACAAGATTGCTATGTCTCTGATCAGGTAGTGTAAACTGGAGATGACATGTTTTTTACCTATGATTTTTAACAAGCCCCCCCCCCCCTCTGAAAATAATTTACAGTACATTTTTTCCTAGAGCGTAATGATATTTTCCATTGAGTCGGAAAACAGCATAAATTACTGTAAACAAAGTTTCGTTTTAAAAACAGATTTTTTTCATCTTCAATTTTTTTTATGTGAACATAAATGAGGGGAAGGTTGGATGGGGAGGAGTGTCAATGAAATTCCAGTGATTTGAATGATATTTTTTATTTTCATTATTCTTAGCTATTATTTATATTCATTATTGCGATATTTTTTATTCTTTATCAGCATTTTGAAACACTAATCCATTTTCGTTGTTGTTTCAGTTTACATATAAACAACCTGCTCACCTCTCCACAGAAAGACCGAAGGTAACTTAAAACTTGAACTCAGTGCTTTTAAACTCTTATGTTTTCATTTATTATGAAGTGCCATGATCAAATCAAATCAAATCAAATCAAATCAAATCAAATCAAATCAAATCAAATCAAATTATTTATTTCTGCAGAAAAATCTAATTTTTACAGATCAGAAAGATAACATTTTCCACAGCAGGTGGACTTAATAGCCTGGGGCTGTTTTAGATGAGCCCACCTGTAAACCAAATTCTTTAATTAATTTATAAAAAATTAAAATAACAAACATCTAATAGCACTAGAAACTAGGGATGGGGACTTCAGAACCTTTTCCCAATTCGTTCGTTAACTGTAACTGTTTGTTTAGTGTAGCTGTTCGTTAACTGTAGTTATTCGTTAACTGTAGCTGTTCGTTAAGTGTAGATGTTCGTCAACTGTAGCTGTTTGCAAAAAAATAAAAAGTGACGTAACGGACAGGTCCATTATGATACAGTTCGTTTTTATCTATTCTGAGTATAACTGAAAACTTGCCAAGGAGAGGGGGGTCACAGAGTNTAGAGACAGGGGCTTACTGCCTTAGGGGCCGAGTCTGCTATTTCTGTATCAACACTGTTTAGACTGAGTCTGGTAATGGATCCACGAAGACGACATGTGTCCGATACTTCCAACATGTACGATGTACCAAACAGGAAAGATCTCATGGACGTGCTCACTCGTCCTCATTAGAATTCGTCCAACGTGACGAAAGGATGTATGATAAACGGATCTATAATCTTACCGAATATCTTTGGTCTAAGTATTTAATGGCGCCCGACATGACAAATACTATTACAAAATTTTTTAATTCTGACTTCTGAAGAATAGATTTTAACATTGAAAAAATATTTGAACTTCTTATTCTTCGCAACCTATCTGACAAAATTTTCCATGGTAAATATATTTCGATTTATATTGTTTAACTTTAGATGCAGATTTGTGTTGATTTATGATAAACAAGACTTATTGCAAAATTATTTTGTTTAAAGGGACAGTTTGCGTCATTTCAAGAGGAGCTTTTCCAATTCACAACGGTACCCTTAATAATGATAAAGATTTCCTGTATTTATCAGATAATTGATAAATTTCCAATTGTGGGTTCTCTTTTAAATTATTTTTTAAAACTTAATATTTTCCCAGATAGAAAACGACGATATCTTCCTCATTGTTGCTCAGATATCGTTATTAACAGAACATATAAATCCTTTAAATATAAGGTCACTTGAAAATACGTTCACAGTCCCTTTAAAGTCAGCTGTTCTCAGTTGATTATTCAAATTATATGTGCTTCTCAAATTCTATGTGATAATGTACATACATTTAAATGTGTAAACTATTATCAGTTTTTTTGTACATGAATAGTACATGCAGTGGTTTGTCAAAATGCAAACAAAAAAGCATATTACATTATATATATATATATATATTGTCAAGTATAGATCCTAGTCACAACAATTGAGGTTATATTACACAGATAACTCAGAACATAACTAGTCAAAATTATATTTTGGTCACGTCAACATTTTGTTAAACATTATTTATTTTTTCATTTTAAATTTGTGTGTGAACAATGAACATGTACATTGTACAATGTTCTAAAATCCTGAGAATTTTGCTATGTACGTTGTACCTGTACTTCATCAAAAACCTTTTGTACAAAAAATTGTTGCATGTATATTGCATCTAAATTATTGATCAATGTTCAATACCAACTAATTAACAAGAAAATGTTGCATGTACATTGTACATAATGTATATTGTGCCTATTGCAATCATCAAATTTTTTTCAAGCAATGCATGTACAGAACAAGTGTGTTGCTTTAAAATAGAAAATTTTTAAAAAATGTAAAATTAGGTTGTTATGTACATTGTACATGTATTTTTGTTATGTTAATAAACTATGTACATCGTACACGCATCAAATGGCATATACAGTACAAGGTACATGCATCTAAATTATGAAACAAAGAGTTAAAATGTACATTAATCATTGTTCATTGTTCATGTTATGTATTTAAAAAATACAGAAAGTAACGTCAGGTGTGAGGTATCATGCATACATGCGTACATGAATAAGACAAAGAAGAAACTTATGTCGTGCACAATGTACATGCAATTTACTATATAAAACAATGTACTTATTGTTTTAGTATTTCACATGTACAAATTTTTACATTATTGACCAATAAAAATTTTTTTATTATGTTCTATGTACATTGTGCATGCATCTAAATAATTAAACAGTGAACAGTGTACGTTCAAAATATGTAATGTTCAATGTTCCTCCATTTGCATTATTGCACAATTTGCAATTGTGCACACTGTACAAGCGTATTGTAAACAGTTTAAATACCTCAGTAATATTTAGTATAAAAAATTCAAATTAACTGTTAATTGACATTTAATTTGCAGTTAATTTCCATTTAATTACAAAGTAATTACCAGTTAATTACAAAGTAATTACCAGTAAATAACAAGTTAATTACCATTTTAATACTAGTTAATTATAAGTTAATTGCCAGTTAATTACAAATTTATTACAAGTTAATTGCAAGTTAATTGCAAGTTAATTACCAGTCAATTACCAGTCAATTACCAGTCAATTACCAGTCAATTACCAGTCAATTACAAGTCAATTACAAGTCAATTACAAGTCAATTACAAGTCGATTACAAGTTAATTACAAGTTAATTACCAGTTAATTACAAGTTAATCACAAGTTAATGACCAATTAATTACAAGTTAATCACAAGTTAATGACCAATTAATTACAAGTTAATTACTAGCTAATTACCTGGTGTTTACAGATTAAAATGTGGTGAGATAAAATCAATAAAACTAGTGTATATATACATCCCTTTAATTACCAGGTAAGCTTAAGACGGAAAACCATTTAAACGAAGATTATAAGGGACAAGATGAACTGATTTCTCGCCTCAAACCCTATTTGTATTTTCCCTATATGTCTTCAACCTGATTTGTAAACCGTTAATATTTCAAACTGTGCCATCTGATCTAGCAGAATTCTAAGTTTGAAATTTCAATTTTTTGCGACGAAGATATACGACTTGGTAAATTAGAGTTCGAGGCGAGTAATCAGATCCTTGAAATAGTAAAATAAGTTTAATCCCAATCAAAATGAATTAAGTTTAAAAGATAACAACATCTTTAACTTATGAAGCAATTAAGTACACGATCAGAATAAAACGGGTTTATGACCAGAATTACGCTAAGCTAAGTACACGTTTATACTGGAACAGTATAAAGATCAAAACTATGTTAAGCTAAGTACATGTTTAGAATGGAACGGTGTAAAGATCAGAATTACGCTAAACTAAGAACACCTTTATACTGGAACAGTGTAAAGATCAGAACTACATTAAACTAAGTACATGTTTAGAATGGAACGGTATAAAGATCAGAACTATGTTAAACTAAGAACACGTTCATACTGGAACGGTATAAAGATCAGAACTACGTTAAACTAAGTACATGTTTAGAATGGAACGATATAAAGATCAGAACTACGCTAAACTAAGGAAGCATCACCAGGAACTCGGAGTTCCTTGGACAGATCCTTTATTCTCACCTAACAATTCTTCTATTGGTCTCAAGAAGGTAGCAATTATTAAACCTTAGGTCTAATTAAATGATACTTGGTGGGGTTTGAAAATGTTTATTGGTAAAAACTTGTTACGGAATATATGGGAGCGTTATTACTGTGTAGTTAGTTTCTGTGGGAGGATTTAGGGAGCTTCTCAACTGCAGGTGTTGATGAACCTTTAGAGCTTTCTGGAGCAGAACTGTAGAAGGCTGCTTCTGTAGGGAGCTGCTTGAATCTGGAGGTGTAGATGAACCTTTAGAACCTTTTTGTTGGTACAGAGTTGGTTTGGAACTCCGGAGCTGCTCAAAGATTGGTTGGTTACAACTGATGATATCATGTTTTCTAGATTTCAATGTTAGATTTAAGGCGCAGTTTTAACCTTGAGTCTATACTTAAAAATACACAGTGCTCACAGGATGTTCACAAAAAATACAAAAATATAAATACATTTTAACTATTCATAAAAGCACAAATATCAATTCTTAAAGAATCTGTTACATTCGTTTGTGAATTTTACAAAAAAGGAGTTTTAGTTTATGTAAACACCCAACAGAGTTACCATATACAGAAATAATTGATTCCAACCATGATCTGACATTCTTTGTTAAAAATACGCACTTTGAACTCCGTTACAGAATATGGGTTAAAAAGTAAAGTTTTTTAAACCGATTTTTTTTTAATTTTTGAAAATAGATGACTTTGATAAGAAATTGATCAAATTAAAAATTAAAATTATTTAAATTTACACAGATGCGTTACACTTTAACATGAAACTTTTGAAATGAAGCATTTTTCTTGTATATTTTTATTGGTATAAATCTGTATTAACATCCCAACAATCAATGAACAAACAATTGACAATGATTGATTATTCTAAAATGTCATTATGATTAAATATTAAAATATTTTGGGACAAATATTTTCCAGAAACTAACAAATATATTTAAACATTACTTATTTATAATACAGCGTGTCACACGAAACTTGACTGATGAGAACAAATCTAAAAATATCTTGAATCATTGAAATAATTTATGGCATTTTTTTCAATCTTATTTTACAAATAAAATTCTTTAAACAATAATCACAAAATAATCCTAATTCTGGCATTTCAAAAATGTGGTCTGCCTCTTTTTGTGCTTAAAACTACTGAAGAATTTTGTTCAGATTTAGACAATTTTGGTTTCATTCAATAAATTGAACGAAGAAATTTGAAAAAAGATGTAAAAAGGTGCAAACCAGATATTGGAAATACCAGTAATAGAATATTGGCTTTTTGTGATTATTGTTCCAAAAATAATAATTATTAAGTAAGCAGCTTAATTGCCGCAAATTGTTTTAAATATGATTCTCAAGCTCGGTGTCTATTTATGTATCATGTTTTGTGGGACACTGAATATGTGAAATAATATTTGGTATATTTAGAGATCAAAACATAGTTATTAACCATTAAAGATAAAGTTTGGAAAATATAGTTTTCTCAATTCTAGATTCTAGATTCTAGATTCTAGATGCTTTTACCAGATTTGTTTCTCGGGATTAAAGTTGGTTGCTAACGGGAAAACTTGGGATTTTAAGGGATTGTTCAAAGTTTGGATTTAAATAAAGGGAAACAAAATAGGTACGTACTGCAGTGATCTGCAGTACACTGGCTGCAGAAATTGTGAGGTTTAGCGAAGAGTGAGTGAACTGAATAGAGGACGAAAATTTTGAATTTTATAGCGTTAAGCTCCTAAGTGGTTAAAGCATTTAATAGAGGAATGTTTTTCATTTCTGGCACTAATAAGAAGACTTGACTCCTTGGGTATCGGAGTATAAGATTCGGAGATATCTGCTCCGTTCCTAGGTTTGTTTAGGTATCGGAGCTGCGTGGTCTGGAGTGGACAAGGATAAGAGATATTTGCTCAAAACCTAGGTTTGTTAAGGTATCGGAGCTGTGTGGTCTGGAGTGGACAAGGATCGGTGATATCTGCTCCGAACCTAGGTTTGTTTAGGTATCGGAGCTGCGTGGTCTGGAGTGGACAAGGATCGGAGATATCTGCTCCGAACCTTGGTTTGTTTAGGTATCGGAGCTGCGTGGTCTGGAGTGGACAAGGATCGGAGATATCTGCTCCGAACCTAGGTTTGTTTAGGTATCGGAGCTGCGTGGTCTGGAGTGGACAAGAACCTAGGTTTGTTTAGGTATCGGAGCTGCGTGGTCTGGAGTGGACAAGGATCGGAGATATCTGCTCCGAACCTAGGCTGGTTAAGGACGGAGTTGGCAGACATGATGTTATTCAGGTATATCGAAATTTTTAACTATTTTCACAATTCTTAAAAAAAAAATTTAATCAAAAAGGCTTTTGGTTTTTACTTTGTTTGACATATTTTTAATTACAAAGGAACTATGATTTTCTAATCCCTCTATCTTTGCAATCCAATGTCAAAGACCTTAGATATTTCAAATTATGTTAGCGCAAAATATCTAAGTTTGAATTATCAAAGGTTTACACCATTACTAGGTTGTTAAGATATAGGAACTAGAAAATTATTGATTAAATCTTTTAATATAAATATTATATTCTCTCATATCTTATATTATGAATATTATATTAAGGGAAAACTTGGTAATTGTTGGTTTGTAGCAGCTGCCAGTGTTCTTGCAGGTACATTTCCCTCTTTCAATTCTTCTCTTATTAAACTAGTTCCTTATTTCTCTAACAACTTTTTGTTCGAACGTTCGTTTATCCTTTCATTTACCTCTGTCAATCAACCTTTCATTCACCTTTTTGTTCCTCCTTTTGTTCATCCTTTTAATTTTACTTTTAATCATCCTTCATCTTTTTATTTATACTTTCAATCATCCTTTTATTCACTTTTTATGTCCTGTCAATCATCTTTTCATTCACCTTTTATGTCCTGTCATTCTTCCTTTCATTCACCTTTTATGTCCTGTCAATCATCCTTTCATTTATCTTTTTGTTAATCTTTTTATTCATCCTTTCAAACATCCTTTCATTTACCTTTTTGTTTTGTTTTGTCAATCATCTTTTTGTGTCCTGTTAATCATCCTTTCATTCACCTTTTTGTGTCCTGTCAATCATCCTTTCATTCACCTTTTATGTCCAATCATCCTTTCATTCACCTTTTATGTCCTGTCAATCATCCTTACACTCACCTTTTTGTTAATCTTTTATTCATCCTTTCAACATTCTTTCATTTACCTTTTTGTTTTGTTATGTCAATCATCTTTTTGTGTCCTGTCAATCATCCTTTCATTCTTGACTTTATATATCTCAAGGTGTAGAGAAGCTATGGGAGCGTGTGCTCCCAGACCTAGAGGAGCAGGATTGGGATCCGGAGAACAAGGATAAATATTCGTAAGTAATTCTTATTCTTGTTCTCAGTGTTTCTCATCCTAACTTTCAGCTACAAAGCATTTCATCGAAAGCAGGGTTGTACGGTAATAATAATAATAAAGTACTATAAGTGTGGCTCTGTGAACATGTTCACTTCATACAATATAAAATAATAAGAACAAATATCGAGGATTCATATTTTTTTTCGTGAATTTATAAAATTTTACGAAAATTAGATTTTTTGAAAGACAAATATTTGTAATTCTGAGAATCCATAAACCTTGCCTGTTTTGATGTTTTTTGGATACAAATACACAAACAGACAGTGACACCCAAGCAAAGTATGTATAAAGATTAATCGTTCTCTTTATTGTCATTACTTTTGCAGAGGAGTATTTCGATTCCGGTTCTGGAGGTTCGGAGGATGGGTTGAGGTTCTAGTTGATGATTATCTACCAACAAGGTAAACTTGAAGGATTATGGTTCATGATTAATCTTTTTGTTTGTTTTGTTCTTAGGGATGGAGTACCCGTGTTCACCTACAGCAGGGATAAAGGGGAGTTCTGGGGAGTACTCCTAGAGAATTTTTAAGTTTACTGTTTAAGGATGGAGTACCCGTGTTCACCTACAGCAGGGATAAAGGGGAGTTCTGTGGCGCACTCCTAGATAATTTTTATGTTTACTGTTTAAGGATGGAGTTCCCGTGTTCACCTACAACAGGGATAAAGGGGAGTACTTAGGAGCACTCCTAGAGAATTGTTATGTTTACTGTTTAGGGATGGAGTACCCGTGTTCACCTACAGGAGGGATAAAGGGGAGTACTGGGAAGCACTCCTAGAGAATTGTTATGTTTACTGTTTAGGGATGGAGTACCCGTGTTCACCTACAGCAGGGATAAAGGGGAGTACTGGGGAGTACTCCTAGAGAATTGATATGTTTACTGTTAAGGGATGGAGTACCCATGTTCACCTATAGCAGGGATAAAGGGGAGTACTGAGGAGTACTCCTAGAGAATTGTTATGTTTACTGTTTAGGGATGGAGTACCCGTGTTCACCTACAGCAGGGATAAAGGGGAGTACTGGGGAGCACTCCTAGAGAAGGCATATGCAAAGTAGGTTCTTAATCATTAGGAAACATAGACAAAGTTTTAAATATCCAACCAAACTACATACGAGCTATCTAACAATTCAAACAATTGATATATTAAGTAATAAGAAAAGGGATCTGTAAAAGACCCCAAAATGGACCCCCCAGACCGCCGCCAGGTGAGAGGGTCATGACAAAAGATGCCCCCTATCCGTTCCATCCAGGCCCCCAACACCCCCACCAAACTTTTCCCGGTAGGAGGAGAAGGGGTAGTACTTACCGATGGTTAGCTTAACCAATAACCTTGGTGATTGTGTAATGTGTACCTTACAATCTAAAGTTGAAGCTTACCACAGTTAATGGGGGGTCTAGCACATTCCAGCCAGCTCCATCCATCTGGCATGTACTTTATGCAGGACATGTGCACGCTTCTGCATTTCTGTTTCACTGGCATTATCTCCACCGTTCCTGGGCTTACCGTCCAGGTTAGGAAGATTTTGTACCAAATTCTTCCTGTTCATAGTGTACCACCGAGCATACAACTGTCACGTTGTACTCATTTAGTTGGAATACTATTCTTCTCATATCTAAGACAACGGACAGTACTTGTATGATTTGCCATGTTCATTGGGCCTTCTATTCCCCAGTCTTGCGTCACCAGCTCTGAATATGTTGAGTATTTTTTCAGCTTTGTTGTCGCAGACATTCGGTTGGAGTTTGAACCACTCCTGTGGAGTTGGCATGTGTATCATTGATGCCTGAGTTTGCTTTGTTAGCATCACTCTTGCCTCTGCTACCTTCATTAACTGTTGCTTCAGATTTCTTCTAGGTCCGTTAATGAAACTGGCTCCTAGGTTCTCTAATAGTTCCATCACTTTCTGTGTCCATGGATTATCTGGTGACTGGTGAACAGACTAAACGCATTCTTTAGGACCTTGTCTTGTTTCCTGTGCATAAGATCCCAGACATATGGTCCTAGCTTAATCTCTACTCTCTCCTTCATTGGCTTTAATCCTGCATGCATATACCCTGCACACTTTGATGATGATTTGGGTAATTGTAGCACAAACCTGGCTACCTGATGCTTGATACTGTCTAGTTTGTTCAGAACCTTTTTGGACAACACCATAGCCTCAGTAGCATACAGAATTGCGGGAATTGTGCAGCGCTCTGTCCAATCCTGTCCGAGATCCACCTAATATTGTGTGGGTATACTTTTGGGCAATGCTCCCATCTTCTCTTCTCTTACTCCAGGACTCATCAGCGTACTCCAGGACTCATCATCTTACTCCAGGACTCATCAGCGTACTTCAGGACTCATAATCTTACTCCAGGACTCATCAGCGTACTCCAGGACTCATCAGCGTACTCCAGGACTCATCAGCTTACGCCAGGACTCATCAGCGTACTCCAGGACTCATAAGCTTACTCCAGGACTCATCAGCTTACTCCAGGACTCATCAGCTTATTCCAGGACTCATCAGTTTACTCCAGGACTCATCAGCTTACTCCAGGATTTATCTTTACTCCAGGATTCTTCTTTATTCCAGGATTCATCTTTACTCCAGGATTCCTCCTTACTCCATAATTTATACCTAGTTAGGATTCGCCCTACTCCGGGAATCATCCTTACACCAGGATTAATCCTTACTCCAGGATTCATCCTTACTCCAGGATTCATCCTTGCCCCAGGATTCATCCTTGCTCCAGGATTCATCCTTGCTCCAGAATTCATCCTTGCTCCAGAATTCATCCTTGCTCCAGGATTTAGTTTACTCCAGTATTCGTCCTTGTTCCAGGATTTAGTCTTACCCCAGTATTCATCTAACTCCAGGATTCATCCCTACTACAGGACTCATCAGCTTATACCAGGATTAATCCTTACTCCAGGATTAATCCTTCCTCCAGGATTAATCCTTCCTCCAGGATTAATCCTTCCTCCAGGATTCATGCTTACTCCAAGATTAATATTTACTTCAAGATTAATCCTCACTCTAAGATTAATCCTTACTCCAAGATTAATCCTTACTCTAAGATTAATCCTTACTCTAAGATTAATCCTTACTCCAAGATTAATCCTTACATCAAGATTAATACTTACTCCAAGATTAATCCTTACTCAATTATTCATGCTTTCTCCAGAATTCATCCTTGCTCCAGGATTCATCCTTGCTCCAGGATTTATTCTTACTCCAGGTTTCTCCCTTACTCCAGGACTCATCCTACCTCCAGGATTCACATATCATTACTCCAATGTATACTGATCCTATCCAAAATATGAATCACTTGAAGTGTATCCAATATCCATCCTGACGAATACTGAAAGGTTGAGAACTCCAGAACCCATTTTGATCTGAAAGTGGCCAGGCACCACACTCAATTCTGACGAAAACGGAAATTTTAAAAACTCCAGAAACCATTTTGTTCTGAAAGTGGCCAAGCACCACACATAAAGCTCTACAAAGGAGTAAATTTATCTTAAAAAAAGGACAACAAAACAAAAAACAAAATGGAAAATATGCTTCTAGATTCTCCAGTTCCAGAAGGTGTTTGACAATTATGGATTTAGTCAGATTTTACTGCTTCTTCTCCCAGCTCTAAGCACTGGTGTCATCACCCACAGCCACAACCTGACTTGAGGAGAGTAATTTCTACTCCTCAACACTTCTAGAATTTACAAACAAGAAAGACTAAAAGTGAAAGAATTTACAACCTTTAAGATTATGTTTTCTTCCACAATGAGGAAGACGAGATTTGAGTCTGGTTGGATCCAGGTCTAGTCTAGGACGGGACGAAGAAACTTGCTCCGGAGTTCCGGCCTCAACCTCTATTGCTGGAACCAGAAGAGTAGTAGAGGTCATCATGACTTGCTCCTGTACTTAGGGCTATTGGGCTAAGTACTTTGCAATGCTTCCCCTGGAAAAAATTTAGGCAAATAGAAATGATTAAGCCTCCCTTCATTTTAGCAAATAATTGTGAGATTCATTTCTTCACAATGTTTCAAAACAATACATTTAAGTGGAATGAAATGTATGTACTTAAACAATTAACAACTTACAATCTTAGTATGCTAAACTTTTTTATTCCATGTATTTGTCGTCTATGTTCTTTATCATTTGAGAATAAAACTAAATCATTGAATATTTAAACTATGAACAATCTAACAATTTTACAATAATAGAAATTGAATAATAAATTAAACTTGATGCAAGAAATAACAAAAAGATGAACAAAAAAATGAATATATGTTGCACATGAATGAATTAATTTTCGGAATAAAGAATGAATTACTCCATGAAAAGTATCTAAAATGATGAATGAATGATTTATATCAGATTGCATGGTTCCTATGAATGCTTGGATGGAGGGAATCTCTCTGATGCTCTGGTAGATTTTACCGGAGGAGTAGCTGAACTAATACAGCTCCATTCAGATACTGGAGACCAACTTGTTAAGGTTAGTGTACCGGAGCAAGCTAATACAGCTCCATTTAGATACTGGAGACCAACTTGTTAATGTTAGTATACCGGAGTAAGCTAATACATCTCCATTCAGGTACTGGAGACCAACTTGTTAAGGTTAGTGTACCGGAGCAAGCGTATACAGCTCCATTTAGATACTGGAGACCAACTTGTTAAGGTTAGTGTACCGGAGCAAGCTAATACAGCTCCATTCAGATACTGGAGACCAACTTGTTAAGGTTAGTGTACCGGAGTAAGCTAATACAGCTCCATGTAGATACTGGAGACCAACTTGTTAAGGTTAGTGTACCGGAGTAAGCTATTACAGCTCTATTCAGATACTGGAGACCAACTTGTTAAGGTTAGTGTACCAAGGAGTAAGCTAATACAGCTCTATTCAGACACTGTGTTACACAGATAAAGGGTTTAAGGGTACAGTGGTTAATCTGACATGCCATTCTCTTTTTTTAAACTAGGGTCACGGTCCCCGTTATGATTCTATTTATTATATTTTATATTTATCTAATTTTTTAGGATGATGAATCCAAAGCTGAACTGTTTGTGAAACTAAGCAAGGAGATTGGAGAGCATGCTTTAATCTGTTGTGCAATAAGGTATTGACTATTAACATTGTCGCCTAGAATTCTTAAGACATTTAAAAATATATTTGAACTAAAATGTTTGACTTTAATTAATTTTATGGATTTTTTTTTATTTTTTATTTAAATGTAAAAAAAGGTTTCTCTTTTATTATTTAGAGGTGGAGGGGGCGCTAGTGAGGAGAGAACTGAAATGGGTTTAGTTAAAGGACATGCTTACGGAGTAACTGCTCTCAAGAAGGTTCCTATTGGTTCTTCAGGACTCTCTTCACTCTTTAAGTAATACTTTTTCAGTAATACTTTTTCAGTAATACTTTTTTCAGCATTTTTACCTGATTTAAACCTTTTAATCGCCATTTTATCTTAAAAATTGCCATTTTATCTTAAAAATCGCCATTTGACCTACATAATTGCCATTTTACCTTCATAATTGCCATTTCATATTCATGACGGCTATTTCTCCTTCAGAAATAAAATTTTACCTTAAAAATTTCCATTTCACCTTCATAACCGCAAATGTTTTCTTTTAAAAACAACCATTTTCACTTAATAACATACATTTTACCTTTATGGCTAACATTTTACTTTAATTTGCCCTTCTATTTACCATTTTACCGTCAAAACTGCCATTTTACCCTCATAACCGCCACTTACCCTCATAACAGCCTGAATTTTTGTCCGGTAGAGGACGTGAGAAGATTCCACTTGTGCGTCTCCGAAATCCTTGGGGAGAGAAAGAATGGAACGGGGCATTCAGTGACAGGTAGATTGTCAATTACAATCAACGTTCTGGAACCCGTTGCTTTTGAAACCCTAATTCCCCCCCCCCCCATCTCTCTTTTATCTCTAAAATGCTTTGGATCTTTTAACATTACTTTTTATGAAACGTTAGGCGATAGGCAATAGGCATGCATTAGGCATTGATAAATAATGAAAATATAAGAAAAAATCTACTTCTAAGTTGAATTTTAATTTATGTTTCCCGTTTTTATTCTCAGTTTAAAGCACTGTTTATACCTTCAATTATCAGTTTTATAACTAATATATTTCCGAATTATCGCCTTATTCGTTTTTTTTTTGTAATTTTAACTGTTAAGTTTAGTTTTTTTGACTTAAAAGACTCAAAAAGAGTCAAAATTAATGACTAAAGACTAAAAATCTAGATTTTCAAATTTTAGGAACAAAATTAAAGGATTAGAACAGGAATTTAGGAACAATTAAAAGATTGTTCAGGAATTAGGAACAAAATTAAAGGATTAGGACAGGGATTTAGGAACAATAAACTGATTGTTCAGGAATTAGGAACAAAAATATAGGATTAGGACAGGGATTTCAGGTGGGTCGGACAAAGTATTAGGAACAGGAACAATAATAGGAACATTAGCAATTTAAGAACAAAAAGAAATTACTAGTTATACTTAAATGCATGAAAATTAGGAACAATATTACAATTTTGATAAATGAGTATGATTAAGGAACATTACTAGATATGAACAATACTATAAAAAAAATATTAAAATTAACTGTCCACTCAATACCGTACAAATAGATGTACTTAGGATTAAACCCACTGTACTCTATGATACCAACTCAGTCATAAGGAAACATTTTTCGACAAATTTCACTGTACAGTATAAACCTAGCCAGGCAAAATTAGGAGAGTTATGCCCGCCCCCTGGTCATAGTGCTCAAGGTATGATGGCAATGGTCATTTTCAGTTAGTCCACCATTGCTTCTTTTTTCTCCTCCAGAATTCGTGATCAATGATGTCATTGAACTAATATTAATCATGATATCAGGTTGGTGACTGGAGCAAACCTAGGAGAGCAGGAGGATGTATAAACCACCCAGAGACATTTCTTCTTAATCCACAATTTAGGATCGGAACTTTGAAACACTTAATAAGAATAGGAGAAGCAGGAGGAAAAGGACAAGAAACATGACGAGTAGTAGGAGTAGGAGAAGTAGATGGAGTAGTAGGAGTAGTAGGAGTAGTAGGAGTAGTAGGAGTAGTAGGAGTAGTATAAGTAGTAGGAGTAGTAGTAGTCGGAGAAGTCGGAGAAGTAGGAGGAGTAGGAGTAGTAGGAGGAGGAGTAGGAGAAATATAATGTGAAGGAGTAGGAGAAGGAGAAATATAATGTTGAGGAGTAGGAGGAAAAGTAGAAGGAGGAGTTGCAAGTAGGAGACGGAGTAGGAGGAAGAGGAGGAGAAGAAATAGTATATGCAGCAGTTAAGGTTCTGATATATCAGATTTGATATAACCACCAAGGACGGAGGAGTAGTAGGAGGAGGAGTATAATATTGTTTGATATAACCACCAAGGACGGAGAGGAGTAGGAGTAGGAGTAGGAGTAGGAGTAGGAGTACGAGTACGAGTACGAGTAGGCAATCTAGAGTTCACTAACATCCACAATAGAGAACGTAAAGTAACGTAATCTTTAGAGACACAAAGTAACATCATCTTTAGGGACATAAAGTAACATTGGTCTTTAAAGACATAAAGTAACATCTTCTTTAGGGACATAAAGTAACAGCATCATACCTTAAGACTTAAATTTACAAAAATTTTGACAATGTTTTATTTGTTATTTATTTCAATTCAAAATCTACGTACAATTTTTACTCAAGACTCGATAATTGTTAGTTTTAGGTTCTTTTTAAAGTATTAATTTTTTAAATATTCTAAATATGATAAAATGTTCATTGAGGCTTGCTGCAAAATATTGCATTTTTAAAAAATGTTACGAGATGAAAAATGTAACAAAGATTGTTTGTTCTTAAATACTAATCATTCACCAATAACCATATATGGTTTGAAGCAAATGATATTTCACCGTTTTCCAGCGTGTTCAGTACTGGAACCTGTTTTCCAGCGTGTTCAGTACTTGAACCTGTTTTCCAGCGTGTTAAGTACTGGAACCTGTTTGTAAGATGTTGGTTGTATTGCAGGCTAGGGTTGGGTGGGACGGGTCGGCTCTACTCTACCAGTGAACTGACCCGTCTCTCTTCCAGGTCTCCAGAGTGGAAAATGATAACAGAGAAGGAACGGGAAAAGCTTGGCCTTGTTACAGAGGACGACGGAGAGTTTTGGTAGGTTTATTAAATTATACAGAGAGTTCTGGTAGGTTTACTATGCTATACAGGGAGTTTTGGTAGGGTTATTAAAGTTTACAGAGAGTCCTGGTAGGTTTACGTTAGTATACAGAAAGTTCTGGTAGGCTTATTTAAGTATACAGAGAGTTCTGGTTGGTTTACTTTAGTATACAGAGAGTTCTGTTAGGTTAACTATAGTATAAGAAGAGTTCTGGAAGGTTATTTAAAGTATACAAAGTTCTGATAGGGTTACTATAGTATACAGGGAATTCTGGTTGGTAAATTACAATTACAGAGAGTTCTGGTAGGTTCATTATAGTATACACTACAGAGAGTTCTGGTAGGTAAATTATAATTACAGAAAGTTCTGGTAGGTTTATTTAAGCATACAGAGAGTTCTGGTTGGTTTATTATAGTATAAAGAGAGTTCTGTTAGGTTAACTATAGTATAAAAAAGCTCTGGTAGGCTATTTATAGTATACAAAGTTTTGATTGGGTTTCTATAGTATACAGAGAGTTCTGTTAGGTTTATTATGGTATACAGATAGTTTTGGGAGGTTAAATAGAATATGCTACTTTATATAGATAACGATTTTCTTGAATATAAAGGATGCCCTGGGATGACTTTGTTTCTGAGTTTACCGATCTATCAATCAATCATCTCATCAATACTTCACTATTCTCATTCTCCAAAACCTGGAAGGAGTTTTTTAAGGTAGAACACTAGGATTTGGTGTGATTGACATAGTCATGGTCATGGTTATGGTCATTGTCATGGTCATGGTCATGGTCATGGTCATGGTCATGGTCATGGTCATGGTCATGGTCATGGTCATGGTCATGGTCATGGTCATGGTCATGGTCATGGTCATGGTCATGGTCATGGTCATGGTCATGGTCATGGTCATGGTCATGGTCATGGTCATGGTCATGGTCATGGTCATGGTCATGGTCATGGTCATGGTCATGGTCATGGTCATGGTCATGGTCATGGTCATGGTCATGGTCATGGTCATGGTCATGGTCATGGTCATGGTCATGGTCATGGTCATGGTCATGGTCATGGTCATGGTCATGGTCATGGTCATGGTCATGGTCATGGTCATGGTCATGGTCATGGTCATGGTCATGGTCATGGTCATGGTCATGGTCATGGTCATGGTCATGGTCATGGTCATGGTCATGGTCATGGTCATGGTCATGGTCATGGTCATGGTCATGGTCATGGTCATGGTCATGGTCATGGTCATGGTCATGGTCATGGTCATGGTCATGGTCATGGTCATGGTCATGGTCATGGTCATGGTCATGGTCATGGTCATGGTCATGGTCATGGTCATGGTCATGGTCATGGTCATGGTCATGGTCATGGTCATGGTCATGGTCATGGTCATGGTCATGGTCATGGTCATGGTCATGGTCATGGTCATGGTCATGGTCATGGTCATGGTCATGGTCATGGTCATGGTCATGGTCATGGTCATGGTCATGGTCATGGTCATGGTCATGGTCATGGTCATGGTCATGGTCATGGTCATGGTCATGGTCATGGTCATGGTCATGGTCATGGTCATGGTCATGGTCATGGTCATGGTCATGGTNATTTCAAAAAGCTTTTAATGTTGTTAGAGAGAAGCTGGTTATTGGGATCCATCTTCTGAAGGTAGAAACCAACCGAAGGTTCAGGGTTCATGATAAACTCAAGAACGGAGATATTGGGAGCAGTGACTATATCCGGTCCAGGCACGTGTTCTACCGAACTAGGTACCTGTAGGGGATCATAAGGACAATCAGTTGTAGGAGGGGGCACCCTTAGAGTCTGATTTATTTGATTTTATTTGAATGGGGGAGCTGTAACGTAAAGGTATAATTAATCAATATTCAATGCCTAGATCAAGCCCAGAACCGGATCGACATGCAACTGTGCAGCTTCCAAAATTATCTTAAATATGAAAGTCCAAAGTTTCAAATCAAGTTGAAGTATCGTCAAGAAAAATCATTTATCTTTAAATATGTTTTTCCAATCACATGAACTTCTCCTTGTATTCCAGAAAAAAAACCATCATAGTGGAATATGCATGAATGTACAATGTATAATAGTATATTTAGGGTTATTAACAAAGAATGAGACATTAATAACGACTTTTTAAATGTCATTGAGAAGAAAATAAGTTCTAATGATGTATAATATACATTGTAATGTTTATTGTGTATAAAGGTTGAAGGCTGGACGGTATATCGTAGTTCCAACAACATTTAACCCTGGAGATACAGGACAGTTCCTGATCAGGTATACATTATATATATCATGGTTCCTGGAGATACAGGACAGTTCCTGCTCAGTTATATATTACATATATCATGGTTTTAGGATATACAGGACAGTTCCTTCTCAGGTATACATTATACATATCATGGTTCCAGGATATACAGGACAGTTCCTTCTCAGGTATACATTACATATATTATGGTTCCAGGAGATACAGGACAGTTCCTTCTCAGGTATACATTACATATATTATGGTTCTAGGAGATACAGGACAGTTCCTTCTCAGGTATACATTACATATATCATGGTTCCTGGAGATACAGGACAGTTCCTTCTCAGGTATACATTACATATATCATTGTTCCTGGAGATACAGGACAGTTTCTGCTCAGGTATGCATTACATTTATCATGGTTCCAGGATATACAGGACAGTTTCTGCTCAGGTATGCATTACATATATCATGGTTCCAGGATATACAGGACAGTTCCTGCTCAGTTATATATTACATATATCACTGTTCCAGGATATACAGGACAGTTCCTGCTTATGTAAATGATGATGTATTTGGTTTAGTTGAGCTGTATATATATATATATCTTGGTTGTTTGGTGATGATGTATCTGGTTTGGTTGAGCTGCATATCTTGGTGGTTTGGTTGAGCGCTGTATATATTTCTAGGTTGTTTGGTGATGATGTATCTGGTTTGGTTGAGCTACATATATATATATATCTTGGTTGTTTGGGTATGATTTATCTGGTTTGGTTGAGCGCTGTATATATATCTAGGTTGTTTGGTGATGATGTATCTGGTTTGGTTGAGCTGCATATATATATTTTGGTTGTTTGGTGATGATTTATCTGGTTTGGTTGAGCGCTGTAAATATATCTAGGTTGTTTGGTGATGATGTATTTGGTTTGGTTGAGCTGCATATATATATATATCTTGGTTGTTTGGTGATGATTTATCTGGTTTGGTTGAGCGCTGTATATATATCTAGGTTGTTTGGTGATGATGTATCTGGTTTGGTTGAGCGCTGTATGTATATCTAGGTTGTTTGCTGATGATGTATATGGTTTGGTTGAGCTCAATATATATTTAGGTTGTTTGATGATGATGTATTTAGTTTGGTTGAGTTAGATGTATATATATTTAGGTTGTTTGGTGAAGATGTATCTGGTTTCGTTGAGCTCTATATATATCTAGGTTGTTTGGTGATGATGTATCTGGTTTGGTTGAGTTAGATGTAATTATATATATATATATATTATATATAGGTTGTTTGGTGATGATTTTTCTGGTTTGGATGAATTAGATGTAAATATATTTGGTGATGATGTATCTGGTTTGGTTGAGCTGGAGGGCGATGAACCACCAGACCCTCCTTGTCTTTTCTGTGGTTGTCAAGCTAAACCTCAGGTTACCTTAATTTGTAAATTAACATTCAAAATTTAGAAGTGTTTTCACAAATTTCGAAAAGTCCTTTAATTAAGGGAGAGACTGGTTAGCTAACATATTTGTACCGAGAGTGCAGTATTATAAAGAACAAATTTAGGATTCATTTGATAACAATGAGACGTTTATGATACGATATGACACAAATCTCTCAACGAATTGATAAAATTTCCAGTAAATCTTCATCCGGTCACAAAGTTGGTGTTCATGAGTCATACTTTAAAAGTTAAAATTACTTTTTTTTAAAAAGACTCTTACTGAAAATTAGATAATTTCATCCGACAATTAATCATAATAAAGATGTGAATTTTTTTTCTTAAAAAAAAACACTGTGTTTGCCCCTTTTATTGTAAATATCAAACTGATCATTGATCCTTGAACAGAAATATTACTTTAAAACAAATATTAAAGTTGAATAAATTATTTCAATGATTTTTTTTATAAATTAATGGGATTGTAGACGTTATTTAAAATGACTTTCAATTTGTAAAGTGGCACTGGAGTGGAAGTTGAGTTCCAGTCTGAAAATTAGGAATTCTCTGTCCGTGCCATTATATATATATATACGTCACTGTACAGTTCCTACAGTCCTTTTTAAGTTTTTGTTTAATTGTAGATTGTGACAAGATTAACGATAGAGTCGTTGGAAGGATTACCCAAGAAAAGTATTGGAGGTTGGTTTTGAAAATTAATTTTCTTGCTTCATTTACATTCTACAATGGATAATGTTTGTTGTTTTTGAATGAAAAATAATCTCCTTCTAACTCGGATTAAACCAAAATACAAGTTAGTATGAAACACTCAATTTAGGTTTAACTTACATACATTTAGGTTTAACATAAATGTATTTAGGTTTAACATACAAACATTAAGGTTTAACATAAATACATTTAGGTTTAACATATACACATTTAGGTTTAATATACATACATTTAGGGTTAACATACATACATTTAGGGTTAACATACATACATTTAGGTTCAAAATACTTACATTAGGTTTAAATAAATACATTTAGGTTTAACATACATACATTTTCAATGTTTATTTTTCTCATCTAAGGTTGTGATCCCTACTTGATAGTTCGGTGTGAAGGAGAGACGGTTAAATCTCCAGTAATCAAGGATAATGTGTCTCCAACCTTTAATTTCTCAACAATTTTCTACAGAAAACTAACCCAGAAACCAATCAAAGTTCAGGTTAGGGATTTAAAGAAAATATTTTACAAATGCATATTTTTAAGGGCGCGTATTCGAGTCATCACCTATTTGGGACCAAAAACAACTAAAAACCATAGAATACACTGATCCAGGTGGGGGCTGAGCCCTTCATAGCCCCCTCCCCCTCTGTATATTTTGTATTATTTGTACGTGATACGTTATAGTCTCTAAATTTCAAGTAAATCGCATCTTAATCTAGAAAGGAAATTATACAATATGTTCGGGTTTCTAGTCTTTCACTTTTAACTCATAGGAGTAAAATTTTTCTTAAGTTTGATTACTGAGATTTTTTCTTCTGACTTTCGCCAGACTTTGAACCGTAAGACGACAAGTTCTGCAAGATATTTGCTATATACACAATGAAGGGTTAGCCACAAAGGAATGATATTGTAATGTCGACCATAAAATCTGTAGAATATAGTCTTGAATGATTATTCAAAGAAGTAAGTGTTGGGGGNGGCAATAAGAAACCAGTGATATAAGAAAAAAAAACTGAATAAATTCTGTACAGTTTGTGCAGTTTGTACAGTTTTCTTTGAAGTCTCAATAATTTATTGGCAAAACTGTACACTGGCAGTGGGGCGTAAAAAACTATGGAATAGGGGAAACGGCTGTTAGACTTAACTTGTGATGAAATTGTAACACAGAAATTGTGCGGCACAGTGGAATTTCATGATAATGGTAAAACTATTTGCTTTAGACCAGCGTCAATTACAAATAATATTTCTTAAATGTCGTCTTCATTTTCCATAGTTTTATGGGTCCAACTGTATATAAACATTAAAAGGTTTGGGAGAAAGGTCTCCTCATGGACAGTTTTCTCGGAGAATCTCGGGTTGAGGACGGAGACGGGAGCAAGGACAGAGTCAAAGAGAACACAGATAATCCTTTCGGAGAAGAGGAGACAACAAGGTTCATTTACTCATGACACATATAATAGCAAGAATAAAATCGAATCCAAATATAAATTTTCATTAATTACTTTTTCATTCAGTTATTTTCTTTAAATTCATGTTATCGCAAATTTTAAAATTCAACTCTAAACACCTCATTAATAGAGAAAAAAAATAAATTTTGAGAAATACAAAGACATAAATTTTCTTTTGTCCCTTAGGATTGACTGTATAGTTTATACTTGACAATTTTGCTCTGATATTATGGAAAAGTGGATTTCTTTAATAAAATCTCAAAATGTATTTTCAACATTCTTAAGTTATCAATATTACTTCTCCTGTTAATAAAAAAGTCGTTTTCAATGATTTAACTTTAAGTCTTTGAAAATGTACTTTTACAGAACAGTACGTGCTGTACAGCTGTACAACCGAGGTCGGAAAAAGGAGGAAACTATGCCAGGGACAATAAAACTCATAATAGGTAGTTTCTCTAATACAATGATAACGAAGTTACAGTTAATGAATGTTACACGTTAATGCATCTTCATCACACTACTGCTAATTGTACCAAGCCAATATCATTTAATTCTTACAGTGAAACCTTAAAATCAGGCCCCACGTCGAGTTTTAAATCCTTTGACTGAGGGAGACAACAACATCATTAAGAAAATAGGTTCAAATAATTTCCTCCGGATTTTAAGAAAATCCTCGAAATATTATATTAGTCTCCCAACAACAGTGCTTAGGATCCGTATCGGTTGGATCCGCAACATAAACTTCCCGGGTCTTATAAAATATTTATGTTTTTAGAAAGTCGGAGAGACCTCTCAGCATTTTGAAGCGCTTCCTTTTCTTATTTTTGATAATCACCGATCTGTTTTTTTTCGCAAGCTGTCCATTTTTTACACGGTATATTAACTTCAAATTTTTTTTTTAATCAATATGTAATGTACTCAATGTAATGTAATGTAACCAATTATGAACGTACAATTATTAATCATTTGTAAAAAATCATTAGAAACTTAAAATCTCGTAAATCTTTGAAATACAGAACTAACTTCGTCCGTTTTACATTATGCACTAACAATATGTTTGTTATTTTTTATTTACATTATCGATGGACCATGATGACTTTGTAATGTTGACATTTTTTCAATTTTTTTTATTTGCAAACCATTGTTCACAATTATACAATCATATATATGTATATTCATTTGCTGTGCCTTGAAAATTTGGCCTTATTAATATGTTGAGTATTTTTTTGTGTGTACAATCAGAATTATATTTTTTGTGATTTTTAAACTAATTGGTGCTATAACTGTTGGAATTTAACAATTATCAATTTAAAAAAGTAATCTCGTTCAATTTATAATATTAAAATGTAATTTGCTCTTAAAATCTACTTAAATATAATAATCATATTCTAAAAACTTCTTTCATGTAAAATTGCTTTAGTAAACTTTAATGTTGCTTAACATTTTCTTATTTATATAATGAATAAAAATATCATGAATATCAATAACTCCAGAATATTAATATAGCTATCAGGATGGATAGGACAGGAAAAAAAGATGGGTAGAATAGTCAGCTCAAAAGATAGGACCGGAATTAGGATAATTAGGACAGGAATCAGGATAAATAGGACAGGAATAAGGTGAGGTAGGACCCGGAATAAGGTGAGGTAGGACACGAATAAGGTGAGGTAGGACAGGAATAAGGTGAGGTAGGACACAAATAAGGTGAGGTAGGACACAAATAAGGTGAGGTAGGACAGGAATAAGGTGAGGTAGGACAGGAATAAGGGCAGGTAGGACAGGAATAAGGTGAGGTAGGACAGGAAGAAAGGATAGATAGGACAGGAATAAGGTGAGGTAGGACAGGAACAAGGTCAGGTAGGACAGAAATAAGGTGAGGTAGGACAGGAATAAAGGATATTTAGGACAGGAATCAGGCGAGGTAGGACAGGAACAAGGTGAGGTAGGACAGGAATAAAGGATAGATAGGATAGGAACAAGGTGAGGTAGGACAGGAATAAGGTGAGATAGGACAGGAATAAAGGAAAGATAGGACAGGAATCAGGTGAGGTAGGACAGGAATAAAGGATAGATAGGGCAGGAATCAGGTTAAGTAAATGAGAGGAATCAGGGTAGGGAGAATAGTTATGAGGATAGGTAGGACAGAAATCAGGACAGATTAGATATGAATCAGGATAGAAAGGACAGGAATCAGGATAGATATGAAAGGAATTAGGATAGATAGGACATTAAGCAGGGTAGAAAGGACAAGAATTAGGAAATATCAGAAATGAATCGGGATAGATAGAATAGGAATAAGGATAGTTGGGACAAGTAAAAAATCATGGTTATTTCTTTGTAAAATTGAAGACTGCTCCTAATCCCTAGAATCCATAGATATGCAGGATGGATGAATGCATGGATCAATAATAGATCGTGAATAAATTGGACGGATTAGGTTTAAATTCCTCATGCTTTATCAGACAAAATTGCAGACATCTATTCCATTCCTCGGGACTTATTTTAACGCAAAAAGATTTGATCAAAGATTAAAAGGTTTAAAAATCATTTTATCAACTTTCAACGCCATTTAACCTTAAGAAACAAGTATGTTAATTTTTCCTTTCATGGTGAAATTTAGTGGATTGGACATGATACGAATTTGATTTTAATTATTTAAGAACGGTTTTCTAGAAATGAATGGATGTTGGATGAAGTTATTTTAAAATTTAGACTTGTTGTGACTTAAAACCTTAATCCCAAGGCGCACTATATGATGGCTCAAAGTGTAAAAAAAAACAAATTTTCAAAAGGTTTTTCTTACTACAATTTACAACATAACTTGTCTTCATAAGGCATAAGCTAAAAAAAATTGTATCTTAGCTTTCTTTGAACATCTTTAAACTTGGAATTTAATTTTTTCTTCTTCATATATTTATTAACTTTGAAATTAAATAAGTGATGGACTTCAATGTGCATTGTGCAGCAGCTGCTGGGAAAGCTAAATTTGTTCTTAGTTAAGTCTCAAGAGCGTTTCACTACAGAGATAAAAGTTTGTTCTTGAATCTATATAAACAATTTGTGCGTCCACACCTAGAATTCTCTGTACCTGTACAGTGTCCCTAGCAACAGGGGAACAAATTAGTTATGGAAAAAGTACAAATGAGAGCTGTAACAATGATTTAAAGTCTCCAAAGCAAGTAGTATAAGGATAAGCTAAAAGAGCTAAATCTATAATCTTTGGAAGAAAGAAGGATTATATATATTAGATATGACATGATTCAAGTGATTAAGTTCATGCACAATCATGATGATGGAGACAGTCTTCCAGACTTCAGAAGAAGAATCAGTCAGGGTTAACAGACACTATTCTGATGCATTGAATATATTAACTTAACTAGATGGAGGATAAGGTTAGAAGAAATTTCTTCACCAACTAAGTTGCTGAGAAATGAAACAAAGGAACCGAGTTTTTGCCACAAACCCAAATTTTCTCATATAAATTTCATAGTTTGAAATATAAATAACTATGTTAACCAAAACAATTAAGCTTACTCCGCTGTAAGGTCGTCTTTGACGAAGATAATTTTGATAATTCACATATAATAGTTTCCAATGACTAGTATATTTCATTGATTTTTTATGTGAAAGATGGATCCCATGTCAGGCTATGAAACATCCGTCTTGTGTTTACATTACCACCCGGAGATACAGTACACTGCCGCACAAAAGATTCGTACACCTCTGAAAAACTTTCCTTGCATTATAGCCTTGGTACTGCATATTTGATTAATATAAGGAGATTCTGGCCTAACCTAGCCTGTCTTAGCCGCGGCGTTTGACCCCTAGCCTATCCATATAGCCGCGGCGCTCGGCCAAGAAATTGTCTAAACCTAACTTAACCCTCAAATTTACAGCTGTAAGTTGGACATATAGCCACAGCTCGAGGACCCCTAGACTGTCATAGCTGCAGCGCTCGGCCCCCTAGCCGCAGCGTTCAGCCCAGAAATTGTCTAAACCTAACCTAACCCTCAAATAATAGCAAATAAAACAGCTGTCATCTAGGTTTCGATGTTGCAGTGGGTCAGAAAGTAGTAGGTCGGAAGTAAGCAGTAAAGGGGATAAATTGCATGAAACTTTACCGACCAAAAGACTTGCAGTTTTTGGTTGATATTTTGTGCCTTGGATTAATTGACGACCTACAAAATGTGTACATCAGACCTATATACAATTGATGACCATGCGACCTCCAAAAAGTGTACATCCGACCTAAAAGAAGTGTACATCCGACCTAAAAAAAGAGTACATCCAACCTACAAAGTGTATACATCAGACCTACAATTGGTGATCAACTCGAGACCAACAAAAAGAGTACAAGCGACCTACAAAAGTGTACATTTGACCAACAAAAAGTGTATCTGAGCTACAAAAAGTATACATCTGACCTATAAAAACTGTACAATCGACCTAGAATTGGTGACCATCCAAACATACAAAAGTTTACATTCGACCTATATAAGTGTACATCCGACCTACAAAAATTGTACATCCAACCTACAAAAAGTGTACATTCGACCTGCAAAAAGTTTACATCCGACCTACAAAGTGTACATCCGACCTACAAAAAGTTTACATCCGACCTACGAAATATGTACATCTGACCTACAAAAAGAGCTGGCATATCCTGCCTTCAAAATACTCGCTCCATGCTCATGGCTAGAACTCTATCATGCCTGAAGGTTGGATTTTTAAAAATTGTGAAACCTCGACCTACAGCTGTCGTAGGTCGGATATTGCAATAGGTCGGAAAGTTAATTGGTCGGAAGTTCATTATAGAGGATGTTGCGTACAGACGTTGTAAAATTACCCTCAAGGTAAAACTGGAATAGTGATGTATATAATAATTATAAATGTGCGGAAATTTTAACTGGAATTTTTTTGAGATAAAAACTTTGATTCCCATAAGTAAACAACTTTAACTATGACGTTAAATAGCCTAAATAAATCGCATAATGACAAGTTAAACCTGGAATTGTTGAAAATTCTCATTTTAATTGAGCGGCATGAGAGAAAACTTGAATTGTAGCGATTATAAAAGCATGTAAACCGAGCGGGAAACTAGGCAGCCATGAGCCACACTATTTCCCCTTCTCTGTTACATATTAGCTTTTTTCTCTTCTGGCATCCATGAACCACCACTATTTCCCCTTCCGGGTCACCACATTTGACTCTTCCGGGCAAAATTACTTTGTGAAATAGTATATTTAGGGCCTTTAATGTGTGAATTTCAAAAACCCAGCAGCATCACGCAGAAAACATATATGTAAACTGCAAAATCTAAATTCTGTTTTTTGGCTTATTTTTGAGGGCAATATGAATATTAAAAATGACTCACCTTATAATACACTTTTGTGTGAAAATGTGAAATGTTTTCAGAGAAAATTGCTAAAAAAAACTTTTTTTTTAATCTGTAACGCGCAAGTGATGACAGTAAATTTTGTGACTTTTATAATATTTTTTTATTCTTCAGACTACTCTTAACAATTTTTCTCTGCTCCCACAATACGAAAAATTACTTAGTTTACCTACTAAAATATAAAACAAACGACCTCTTTTTATATATATTAATATATTAATCTTATGTAGATTTGAAGAAATGGTTAGAGTTGTGCTTTTTTTCATGACGCGGCTGGATTTTTGATGATACACTTTAAAGACTTTAAATATACTATTTATAAAAGTAGCTTTGCCCGGAAGAGTCAAAAGTGGTGGCCCGGAAGGGTAAATAGAGGTAGCTCATGGATGCCTGCCTTCCCCCGCTCGTAAACCAGAGCAAGTATCGATCAAGATCATTACGATTCTTTTTAAACACGATCACAAGAGATAACTGCCAACTCTGAACTATAGTATCTTTCTAACCAGGTTTAAAGGAAAATATGACAAGATTTTCCATCATCTGAAGTTTAGAAATATTAGGGATTGAACAAGAAATTAAATCAAAATAATATTTCTTTATCGATAAATATCAATTTATTGAACTCGAGATTCTCATGAATTAATATTCACCACAATGTTCCAATAGATTAGAAAAATAAATTGATTTCATTAAAAAATATGATTCTGATTCAACTACTCCGACATAATTTCTGGTCTAATTGACCGGGTTGTAATTAACTAACAACTAAAATACAAAATGCAAATATTATAATAAAATTAAACCTGTCCTTGCTCTTAGGTCCAGCATATTTTTTAAGATTGAATATTTCATTTGAATTGATTGCTAGCTCAGGACCGAACAAGATGACCGGTTCAGTAATAAAATATATATATTCATGGCTGTAAGGAAAATAATCCTTTTAACCAATTCCTCATTTTAATATCGACATTACATATATGTTTCACTTTTATCACTATCTTATAGTAATTTAGTTTGATACTTCACTTGAAACAGGACAAACGTTTTTTTGAGCATTTCTTCCTTCCTCTACATTGCACTTAACTAAGCACTCGACGACAGTGGATGGTTCCACTAGAAGCACTGTGGTTCCCATGTGTTCGTGTTCCTAGAGAAGCTTTGTGGTTCCCATGTATTCATGTTCCACTACAAGCAATGCGGTTCCCATGTGTTCATGTTGAACTAGAAGCAATGTGGTTCCCATGTATTCATGTTCCACTACAAGCAATGTGGTTCCCATGTGTTCATGTTCAACTAGAAGCTCTGTGGTTCCCATGTGTTCATGTTCAACTAGAAGCTCTGTGGTTCCCATGTGTTCATGTTTCGAAGAGGTTTCGGATGATCTTTAATTGCCTTCTTGAACTTTCCGATGAAAGTTAGTTCATCCGTCGGATCCGGAGTATTTTCTCGTACTAGTGAGTTCGATCCTCTCCGCGAAATGTCTCCGGTAACTCGGGAGTATTCTTCAGATATGCTTTTCTTGGCACTGGGTTCTTTTGAATCCTGACCAGAATACTTTTTCAGTACTTTTCTCTTCTCTAGCTCGTCTTCATCATCCGTTCCTTCCTGGACTGCATCGTCATCCTCCCCGTTATTCCTAGATAACACCAACATAATTGTTTGATTAGGTTAGGGAGGTTAGGTTTCCAATTCCATGAAATAGTTTAACCGAGTAAAAAGAAAAAATTGTCAAGATGAAAAGAACTTGAATGGAAAAAGACTAAAAAGTAAATGTACTGAAAAGACGAAAAAATTAAAGTAAAAACTTTAATTTTTTCAGTTTACTTAAGAATTGATTAAAATCGGTACCATTAATTCACAAGTTTTCAGCATGGGTCTATTTTGAATTACAAAGTTCTCAATGGGGAAAAAATCTAAATAGAAAATACGTTTTGTATCGGATTTCTGAAAATAATTAACAAACACAGGAATGAAAAAAAATATTGTCATCCAGATAAAAATTGAAGCAACCCGAATGTTTTTGAAAACGACTGCAAGAATCAAAAAAAATGTGTTAAATCATTCTTACTTGAAAAACCAATTTTGAGCCCAGTTACTTTGAAGCACGCCCGATAGAGTAAACTTTCGAGCTTGGGGTTTAAGTTTAATCCCTTTCCCGTCCTCGGTTTTCTCCAAATCAACCAGAAATATTTGATCGTTCATCTTTTCCGAGTTCTCTTCTGGATTCCAAATTTTCCCGCCATATTCCATCGGGTTTGTACCGCCAGGATTCGGTGTATCCATAGTGTTTTCTTTCTCCAGGCTGAACTCTGTCTTCTGGAGAACCCGACCTTCGATGATCGGCTCCATCACGCAGATAGATTCAGTGATAGAGGGTTTACTCGGCTCAAAATCCATAGTTAGACCCTCCTCCTGCTGCAGGGGTAAACTCAAGTTAAAATAAAAAGACGCCATTTAAATGTTTAAAACTTGGAACGTATCATAAGCCCTCGTCCCTCTTGAAAATTATTTTTTATTTTGCTGTATTAGGGATAATAAGTAATTTTGATAGGAAAATTAATTAATTAATCGGTAAAAGGCATTAAAAAGGTAGGTTAAAAGTAAAACTTGCCATTTAATTTCAAATTTGTCATTGCTCTTCAAAATCGGATGGTTAATCCTTAAAATGTATATATGCTGTTTTGTTATGCTCCACTAAACGTATATATCTCCGGTCAGTGCACTGCAGATTACTGCAGAACACACCGAAAGCTTAGCTGAGGGTAAAAATATCCTTATCCTTTATTAAATCCAAACTGGTAGATATAGTTCTGTACAGGGAGATAGGAACTTTAAACACCAGCTGGTAGATATAGTTCTGTACAGGATTACAACTTCTGGTTTGTTTCAAAACAGGAGGCTTTTCAACCTTCAAGAGCTCTCTACCCATGTGTAACTGTAACTATTCCCTTGTGGTAGAGAGTTTCAACTGCTTAAAAAAACTTTATGGAACTCAGAGAAAATATATTTCGATATATTAATCCTTCTCAATTCAAACAAAAACAAACATTATTTTTTAACAAAGAAGGAGGAAAATATACATTTTATAACAAAAAAATAGATGCTGAGGAAAAATATATATTTGAAAATTGAAAAAAGGAAAAAACGATTTTTTAAAGAAAAGTTAATATGGTCAACCTTAAATTGTAGTGTTTAAGCAGGAACTGAATAAAAATAGGAGATTCTAGAAAGGGGGGACGGNCAAATAAAGGTTTTATGATAAATCAAAATATAAGAAACCAACAGCCAAAAATAAAAAAAATGTTATAATTACAAGGTTTGAAACATTGTATGTAAACGCCTGAAATACAGTTGCACATAATTTTTCTGTATAAAACACAATATATTCACTATTTACAAGTAATAATTGATGACAATATCATCATTTTTATGTATAACCAGGGCGATAAAAATATTTGAACTTGAAAAACCAGTTTAGTATAAAAAGTGAATCAAACTAGAATATTGAACTGAAAACTAAGTATCAAAACAATTCGAAACCAGATCTATGAAAGTAATACAATAAATTCACAAAATTGCGTTACTAATGTCAATTGATTGCAAAATCTTAATTAAGATTAACGAAAATTACTTTGAGTAAAATATTGTGTACGGTCACACGGTGTATTGTAATTAAGGACAGAAGTACGTCTAACCTGTACCTAGTGTTGTTAATCGTTTTGGTTGCAATGTTTTTATTATAAAAATAAACAAAAAACACGTTTTTTATATTTTCTATATAGTGTAAGAAAAGCAAATGAATACAAAATTGTTAATTATAGACATTTATCTTGCACCTAGCCGAATTTTAACCTTGAGAGAAAATATATGAAAAAACGAACCGAAACGAACTAAAACAATTATCAGCACTATCTGAACCATCCTGGTTTCCTTATCTCTAAGTGGTATATATACCTGTACGCCATGATAAATGTGTCTCCATCTCCCCCTGGGGTATTCAACATCTCTGATCCGTAGGATTTTCTTCTGTCCATAAAAATCCCATCTCTAGGAAGTAAATAATTCAATCACTAATTGTTTGCATTTGAAAAAAAGAGTTTATTTTTAATGCACTATGAAATTTGGAACAGTCCATGAAATCTGCCACAAATAATACTTATTTCCATCCAATAGTATCTTAGTTCTATAAAATCTGCCACAAAAAGTATCTTATTTAGATAAAACCTGCACCAATAGTATCTTAATTCCATAAAATCTGCCACAAATAGTATCTTATTTCCATAAAATCTGCACCAATAGTGTCTTATTCTTTTAACAGCTGCACAAATAGTATTTCCATAAAATCAACAGAAAAGTATCTTAGTTCCATAAAATCTGCCACAAATAGTATCTTATTTCCATAAAATCTACACCGATAGTATATCAGTCCCTTAACATCTTCACAAATAGTCTCTTAGTTCCATAAAATCTGCCACAAATAGTATCTTAGTCCATACAAATTGCCACATTCTGAGAACTTGGACAAGCCATAAAATATCTAATTAAACCCCTGTCATAGGTTTAGGGTTACCAGTTAGGTTCAATGTTGGGATGTCATAGGTTTAGGGTTACCAGTTGGGTTCAATATTGGGATATCATAGGTTTAGGGTTACCAGTTGGGTTCAATATTGGGATATCATAGGTTTAGGGTTACCAGTTGGGTTCAATGTTGGGATATCATAGGTTCAGGGTTACCAGTTGGGTTCAATGTTGGGATATCATAGGCTTAGGGTTACCAGTTGGGTTCAATTTTGGGATATCATAGGTTTAGGGTTACCAGTTGGGTTCAATGTTGGGATATCATAGGTTTAGGGTTACCAGTTGTGTTCAATGTTGGGATATCATAGGTTTAGGGTTAGATAAGATGGGTTCAATATTAGGATATCATAGGTTTAGGGTTAGATAAGATGGGTTTAATGTTGGGATATCACAGGTTTAGGGTTAGATAAGATGGGTTCAATATTAGGATATCATAGGTTTCCATGGTTAATAACGGGATTTGAACCAAAAATAAACAAAGTTATAGGCTGTGTGACAAAGGTTTGAATTTCCTGATCTGGAAACCGGTTATTCAGGTTCAGGATTCAAGATTATATCTTACACTTGAGGACTGAAGCTATAGAGCTAGAATATGTTCATTGTTCATACTTAAATGGTAAATGTCCTGGGCATTAAATAATATTTGAATCAACCCCCCCCCCCCTTGCGTAATAACGAGTCTGTTTCAACCAATTCTCTCATCTTTAAATTTACAACCAACTCGGAAAAAGGAAGGAATTATTTAACAATAGATTTCACTGATCCCGGGGGGGGGGGCTGAACCCCTTAGTCCCCCCCCCTCTCAGCACGATTATGGTCTTGTAACTGTAGCAAAGACGTACTTAAAGCCGGGAGGTGGTTGAGCATCATTACTGTCATTATCATCATCAATTCTAAAATAAAAAATAGATAATAATATTCTGGGTCGAAACTTATGAATCATTCATCACTTTAAATTCAGCATTAAATCTTAGTTTTTGTGATCAGTGTCCAAATTTAATGAATTTGAGTCGTGTCTTAAATCCGCAAAATACCGGTTTCAATTGAGCGCCGGCTTAAATCTTGAAACAGTGAATACAATTTTATTTGAAACCAACCATATTTGAGCCGCGGCTTAAATTTAAGCCGCCGCTCAAATTATTTAAATTCGGACTCAGACGGATTAATTGAGTTTCTTCCGGATTAATTTTTAAATAACATTATATTCATATATCACAAAAAATCTGGATTAGTCAATAAAAGACTGCGAAATTGTACAAACCAACTTTTTTTAGTTGATTTTAAAGGGAGTGACCGGCTGTGTAAGGTAGTTAAACTGAGTATGCAGTGTTGTGGAAAACTTCTTTCGGATTCATTTGAGACATATTAAACTTTTTAAAGATCTGTAAATCCTGAGGTTGAGCGCATATTCGACGTTCAAAACTCCTACTTTGGGGGTGATGATACGCTTTCAGAATTAGTTTTTCTTTAATTTTTAAATAACGACGACATAAAGTGTAGAAAAGTTCTACAATTAACTACAGACGCCATGTATAGGAACAGGATGAGAAAATAAAAACTAATCTTATCATCGAAAATAAGTAATATTGTCCAATTATTTGTTTCCAATTTCTCCTTATTCTGGTTTCTCATTATTCAAAGATTTTCCGCAGATTTTCTAGAATTAATATTGAAAAGACGAAATTTGAAGAATTTGAAGAAATCTGCGAATAAATTCAAAGAAAATAAGAAATTCAATATAGTAATGAAAGCATTGATTTATTGACAAATTTCTTTCGAGAAATATGTTCCCAACTATATAATAATTACTGTATAATTTTTAGTTTATTTTTCCTTATACATAGCCGGTCACTCCCCTTAAGTTAAATGTCTCGATCAAAAATACAAGTACAATTTCCGTTAGTTTTGGTACTTTAAAAACATTATTGGAAAAAAGTCATGACAAATTATTCTTCTCCTACCTGGCTAGTGGAGTGGTCAGGTTTATTCCGCTATCTGAGAATCCCAATGATCCTCTTCTCTCTCCATTTCCCGCCAGTTTACCGATCCAGGATGAAAACTTTCCTCCTCCACCTCCTCGACCATCCATAATGTGATCCATCTCTTCTCCGGGTCTACCATGGAACCCTGACATACCATCTCCCGAAGGAAGTGCTCGAGGCTCCATTCTACTGTTCTTTTTATCTGGAGTTCCTAGAATACTGAAGAATTAATTAAGAATTTAATTAAATTATGTAGGATGCTTTTTATTTTGACGCGCGGATCCGGATCCTGGAAAATTCATTTAAAAAATTTATTCAAATCAAGCTACAGCTATATTTATTAAAACAAATATTAATCTTAATATGCTTTTGATTAAGTTCCTAGAATAATAATATATTTGTCCAGAATTCGATCCCATGTTGTTTTGGACCAAATTTATATTTGTTTTGTGCGGATCCAGATCCCGGATAGCGCCGAAAAAAAGTTCCACCTTCAATTAAAATTTATTTAGTAAAGATTAACCTTTATAAAAGAATGTTACCAAAATTATTTAACTCGACGTGTAATATTGTTTAAGCTTTGATATATCTTGAAATAAATTATATTTAACGCAAGAAATATTGAATCATGTCAATTGTTAAAGTAAGAGCGTGAAATAAAATTGATAAAACAGTATTTGATTTGATCTAATTTATATTTAAAATGAAAGCTCCGTAGGGGGGTCCAAAAATCGTTCTCTAGGAAATTACCCTTTAATCGGTTGTAACTGGAAATTTCCGTGTCATATATAACATATGAGAAGTTTCCTTTGTTCACAATATATGTACTGATTATACTGATTCATCGTGTAGAAGCTACATTTTCCAATTATTAAGCTGAAAACTAAACAATTTTTTTTCTTTTAATAAATAGTTGGAAATCAGGAGCTTGGATCACTTATAAATTTCAGAAGGAAAATGTGCTTCAATATCAGCTGTTTTTGAAGTTTGGCTCAGAGATTGCATTTTGTGTGAAAGCTCCTGCAGCCGCTAATGGGAACTGTAGATGGGGGGTCATGGGGGCCTGTATGTATAAAATGCCTTATTTTTCACATTAGCTTTATGTGAGGTAAATAGAAGGTAGTTAAAGTAGTAATAATTTAAATTTTAAAAATAAAAAAAAAAAATCTTATAGTTTTATAAGAAAAGTATCTGCTTACTACCATACATACCTATGTTAATAAAAAATTCACCTATTTTTCAGCAAAAAAAAGGCATTTTATACGTTCACCATGGGGGCCGGGTTATTAACCCAAACTATTAATCACCTCTAGTTGATGATCACTTCTTCGCTAGCTAACTATATTCAAACTTTGTGTAAGAGTGAGAAGAGTAGAATTGTAAGCGTTCATATCTTATTGATTGATCTCTGAACCTTGTTGCGCCCTCTCTCTTTTCTCCACCGGGCCTCTAGGTCTGGGTTGCTCAGCCGTCCTGTCAAAACTAAAAGTACTGGCTCGCACTGCTTAATAGTATCAACTATCTATCTATCTTTTCTTTCCTACCTTTCCTGTCCTACTCCTATCCTCATTAATACATGAAATTATTATTATTTATCAATTAGGAATCAGATCTCGTTAATCTTATTCGTGCATTTTCATATAATCTGTCCGTCCTCCAATTTTTATATTTTCTCCATCCTTGAAGGATTGATCCTTCCATCTAAAATCCAAATTTTCTCCGTGGCCTATCCATTATCCATTTCCTCCGTTTATACCCATGTAAGAGGACTAGGAGACTAGGAGAGGTAGGAGGTGGAGGAGGGATAAGGTAGAGGGGGAGGACAACTACCTCTAGGAGAGAGAAAAACTACCTGTAGGAGAGGGAGGAAAACTGCCAGGAGGAGAAGATAAGAGGTGGAGGGATTAAAACTGGTTAGAGGAGAGGGAGGAGGAGGGATTAAAACTGCTTAGAGGAGAGGGAGGAGGATGGGGGTAATGCCTAGAGGAGAGGGAGGAGGAGGGATTAAAATTGTCTGGAAGAGAGGGAGGAGGATGGAGGGAATGCCTAGAGGAGAGGGAGGAGGGATGAAAACTGATTGTAGGAGAGGGATGAGTATGGGGGAAAAATGCCCGAAGGAGAGGAAAAAAAATTTCCTGGAGAAGAGGGAAGAGGAGGAGGGAGGGAAACTGCTTGGAGGAGAGTAAGGAAAACTGCCTGGAGGAAAGGGAGGAGGAGGAGTGATGAAAATTGTCTGAAGGAGGAGGAGGAGGTGGAGGGAGGAAAACTGCCAGGAGGAAAGTGAGGAACTGCTTGGAGGAGAGAAAGGAAAGCTGCCATGAGGAGAGGGAAGAGAAGGAGAGGGAGTAAAATTGTCGGAAGAAGATCGAGGAGAAGAAGGATGAGGAGGGAGGAGGAGGGAGTTAAAGGTTAGGGGGGGAAGAAAATGGCATCAAAGACTAAGGGAGTGAAGGAGGAGGGAGTAACCGCGTGGAAAAGGAGTGAGGGGGTTGAAGGTTGTCTAAGAAAAGGGGATTGAGAGGGGGACTGCCTGGGAAAGGGGGGTTGAAAGGAGATGGGAGGGAAGGGGGGTGAAGGCTAGGCTGGGGCCTCTAATTTCTAGTCTGGAGTACTGATGTTTAGTTTAAACTTGAGGTTCTCAAGTCTCTACAGTGCACTGGCAGCCTCGAATCTCTATTCTTATAATTTCCCGATGGAAGGACATTAAAAACAGGCAATATTGATTAGAATATTTACGTTAATTTTTTCTGGACACTAAATCTAATTCCGTGTACAGTGTAAAGTATAAACAAGCTGTACATTGATTTGTTTGTTTATCATTTCCTGCGCCTCTACGACCTACGTGTTTGAACTTTTAAACAATTTCTTAGCAATGCTTTTAATTGTATAAAAGGGTACAATATTAAGTAATTAATAATATCAAAAACTTCACTGTAATATAAAAGTATAAAGCCCAGAGGGTACCCCTGTTATTATTACTATAATATATGGAAGAGAAGAGGTTCGCCTTGGTAATATTAGTATATTTATGGAGAACATAGTGGGTTACCCAGGTAATATTACAACAAAATTACATTATAGAAGTATAGAGGGTAACCCTGGTAATATTACTAAGAATTTGAGGTGTAGAAGGTACTGGGTAACCCTGGTTATATTACTAAGAAATAGAGGTATAGAAGGTAATACTACTATATACTAAATGTATAGAGGGTAACCCTGGTAATATTACTATAATATAGAAGTATAGAGGGTGATCTGGTAATATTAGTATAAACTATATGTATAGAGGGTAACCTTGGTAATATTACTTTAAACTAAAAATATAGAGGGATAAGCCTGAGATGGAATTTAAAGAATTTGAGCCGCGGTTTAAATCTGCCAAAACCCAATTTAAATTAAGCGCCGGCTTAAATCTTGAAACATTTGATACGGTTTTAAGTGGAACCAACCATATTTAAGCCGCGGCTTAAATTTAAACCACCGCTCAAATTCTTTAAATTCGGCCACTCGTTATATTACTATAAACTAAATGTATAGAGAGTAAACCTTGGTAATATTACTATGATATAAAAGTGTATAAAGAGGATAACCCATGTAATATTACTTTAAACTAAAAATGTAGAGGGTAACGCTGGTAATATTCCTATAAACTAAATGTTTAAAGTGTAACCCTCGAGATATTACTATAATATAGAAGTATAGAGGGTAACCCATGTAATATTACTTAAAACTAAAAATGTAGAGGGTAACCTTGGTAATATTCCTATAAACTAAATGTGTATAGGGTAACCCTGGTAATATTTCTATAATATAGAAGTATAGAGGGTTACCCATGCAATATTATTTAAAAAAAATATAGATCTGGTAACCCCGATAATATTACTATAAATTAAATGTTTAGAGGGTAACCCTAAAATATTTCCAGTGTTTTAAGCATATTTCTGTTTTTAAGAAAGCTGATTAAATTGTGAACTTTCTTGAATAAAAAGTAGATGAATGAATAAATGACCTGAACTGAAATACCTTTTAAAATAAATAGCTAGAACTAATAACTAGAAAAACTTGGAATAGAAAGACTACATTATAGCAATAATTAAACGTAATTGACAGGGGCGGATACAGGTGGGGGGGGACATTCGCCCCCCTGACAGATTCAGGGAGGGGCGTAGTCCCCCCTGAATTTGGAATTTTTTGTTCCTATTTTCAGAATAGCTTCTCAATAGCATGCTTAAGGGAAAGAAACAGGAAAAATATCTGTCTTAATAAACTATAATGTGTGAAAAGTTAAAAATCTTGTTTTTTAGTCTTTAGTCATTAATTTTGACTCTTTTTGAGTCTTTTAAGCCAAAAAAAAATTTTCGACTGCGGCGCGATTTTTTGTTCCTAATTATGAATTTTTTTGTTCCTAAAAAACACTGCCCCCCCCTCACAAATCCTGTATCCGCCCCTGGTAATTGATGTTGTTTCAAAGCAAATATTTTTACAAGTAACTTAGCAAAGCACAATTTAAGGGAAAAGGGTCTATTGCTATGTCTAAAGTTCATTGAACTAGTTTTAGTCCTAACTTAACCTTATTAAAGTCGTCTTCCTATTTCAGAGTTTTCTGGTTATCTGGTTTTCTGGTTAACACGTAATAAAAAGGATTTATTTAATTATAAGTTAGCGCTCAAAAAAAAGAATAGATAATCACCAACATTATTACCTTTGATTAGATATGTAAAATGTTAAAAATTGTTCCATTTTGTTTATTATGGAAAATTCGTTTAATTGGTAAACTGTTTAAATTCCAATTCAAATTATAAATTGTAGAGCGTCTTAATTACCGCTAAGATACTTATGCTTAATCGATCTCAATAAAAATGTTTCATTTTTGATATGTAAATCTCGAAATGGGATAAAAAATAAGAAATTTGAAATTTACTGCTTTTTGTTCAATTTTTTTTTTGGGGGGGGGGGCAAGGATCAGGGGGCCAACATTATTTTTCTTACGAGCATACGCGCGCAAATATGCCCCCCCCCCCCGTGATATATTGCTTTAGTCCGCCCCTGGAAACAAGTGGTCTTCTGCATTTGCAATGTATTGCAGATGTGCAGATTTATCGCAATAAAACTGCAGATATCTGCCCAAGTTCAAAGTTCTAAGCACCGTTCAATAATGAAAATCTCTAAATAGATAACTTCAAAAATAAAAGTTTATTCGTTTGTTTACAGATTTGCAAAAAAAAAATAAAAGATTCTGGAGTTTACTCTGATTATTTTCAGCAATTTTATTTGATTAATATTTCAGGCTGAATAGAAAAGAAGATGGTTGAGAATAAGCATGAATTACAAGCTCTAAAAATGGAAGATATGGAAGATGGTTCGGAACCAAGGAAACTGAAGAAGAAAGCAAGAAGAAATTATCTTGTTAAGATGGTCACAAGTGAGTCTTATTCTTTTCAGTCTTATGTTTCGAACCCTTTCCTTTACACTACATGCTCTCCTTTCAAGTTCTGTTCATTCCAGTCCAGTTCTTTCCAGTCCTATTCTTTCAAGTCCTATTCTTTCAAGTCCTATTCTTTCAAGTTCTGTTTTTTCCAGTCCTGTTCTTTCCATCCTGTCCTTTATAGTCATTTTCTTTCCAGTCCTTTTCATGTCCTATTATTTCTAGTCCTGTTCTTTCCAGTCCTATTCTTTCAAGTCCTATTCTTTCAAGTTCTGTTTTTTCCAGTCCTGTTCTTTCCATCCTGTCCTTTATAGTCATTTTCTTTCCAGTCCTGTTCTTTCATGTCCTGTTATTTCTAGTCCTGTTCTTTCCAGTCCTGTTCTTTTAAGTTCTGTTCTTTCCAGTCCTGTTCTTTCCAGTCCTGTCCATTCCAGTCCTGTCCATTCCAGTCCTGTCCTTTCCAGTCCTTTCCAGTTCAGTCCTTTTCAGTCCTGTAATTTTTAGTCCTGTCCTTTCCAGTCCTGTTTAGAAGAAGTACTGACCTCTTCTGTCCATTTTCCAGTCTCATTTTTTATTTATAGTCTACAAGTTTTTAGAAAGTCGATCTGTTCGGGTTTTAAATCTTCCAAACATGATAATCGTTTGCAACTTCAATCCCATACAGTATTATTGTGTATTTTGGGTTTTTAGATTATCAGTCTTTTGCAAAGAGATTTGTAATATAAAGAGTAGGCATTGGAATTTATACGCAAACCCAGACGCCTGAATTGGGTTGAATAAGAAGCCATAGAATGTCGTCTTTTCTATAATCTACCGTCTTTGGTCTGTAGATAACAGTAACATTCACAATAACATACCAATACATGTTCACATTATCAAACCAGTATAGGATAATTTTTTGAGATTCGCTTTTTTTTATTCCAGGATTATGTAGAAGGAAAAATACAGAGGAGGTTCAGAGCAAGGAAACCGTTCTAGAACTTTTACAGCCACCCAGGTAGTTCATCCTGATCCTGGACCCGTCCTTGGTCTAGTACCAGTCCTAATCCTGATTCTGGACCCGTCCTTTCTCTAATACTGGTCCTAATCCTGATACTGGACCCGTCCTTGGTCTAGTACCGGTCCTATTCCTGATCCAGGACCCGTCCTTGCTCTAGTACCGGTCCTAATCCTGATCCTGGACCCGTCCTTGCTTTAGTGCCGGTCATAATCCCAATCCTGGACCCGTCCTTGCTCTAGTACCGGTCCAATCCTGATCTTGGACCCGTCCTTGCTTCATCCTGATCCAGGACCCGTCCTTGGTCTAGTACCGGTACTAGTCCTGATCCTAAACCCGTCCTTTCTCTAGTGCTAATCCTAATCCTGATTCTGGACCCGTCCTTGCTTTAGTACAGGTCATAATCATGATCCCGGACCCATCCTTGCTCTAGTACCGGTCCTAATCCTGATCTTGGACCCGTCCTTGGTCTGGTACCGGTCCTAGTCCTGATCCTGGACCCGTCTATGCTCTAGTAATGGTCCATATCCTGATCCAGGACCCGTCCTTTCTCTAGTACTATTCCTCATCGTGACACTAGTCCTTGTCATGATCCTGTACCCACCCTTTCTCTAATATTTGTTCTAATCCTGCTCTATTATTAGTCCTAATCCTGACCCTGGACCCGTCCTTGCTTCATAGAGTAATAATTACTCCATGCCTTGCTCTAATACTATTCCTAATCCTGATCCTAGGCCCGTCCTTGCTCTAATATTATTACTTATCCAGATTTAGGATCTGTCCTTGCCATAGTACTTGTCCTAATACTGATCCGCGACCCGTCCTTGCTCTAATAATGGTCCTTGCCTTGCTCCTGCAACCTTTCCATGCTCTAATACTGGTTTTTATTCTGATCCTGGACCTGTCCTTTCCCTTTTCCTGGTTCCGTCCTTGCTCTATTATTTGTCCTTTCTTGCTCCTTCCTACTCAATACACACACATGTAGATTGCAGAGGTCTTTGCAAAAACAATAAATAATTTTTATAACAACAACTTTTCCTCAAATCATTTTATTGGTATACTACATTTCGCTGCACCAATTCTATAGGATAGAGGCAATAAAAAGTAATTTATCAAAGTAGTAAAAATAGATTTTAACTTTTAACACCTTTTAATTTAGGTACAAACCAAATGATCTTGGGCAGATAAGTTTGGAGACAAAATTCACGAAGAACGAAGTAAAATTCTTGTACAGAGCATTCAAAACAGTTTGTCCAAACGGAATAATTGATGAAGAAACATTTAAAGAAGTTTATGAGAAAATATTCCCAATGGGAGATGCTTCCAAATACGCCCAGATTGTATTCCGAGCCATTGATAGGAATAGAACTGGAGGAATAACATTTGGAGATTTTATGCAATTCCTCTCCGTGATTACGAAGGGAACTGATTATGAGAAAATACTCTGGAGTTTTCAATTCTTTGATATAAATCAGGATGGCAAGATTACAAGGGATGAGATGATTAAGGTAATATTTTAAAATGCATATTGTATTTTGGCGGATTTTTGGTTAAAAATAATCGAGATATATATATCAATCACTTTTGTTGGCCATTTTGATTCAATTTATTATACAAAATATTAATGATTATAACATTTAACTAGTTCATTTAATTTTGGTTAAAATCTTTCTTGTTTTCAAACTTACATCATGTTTCTAAATGGGATAATATTAAGCGAAAAATTTTGTTTAATTCCGTTTGTGAATTTTGCCTCTGTAGTTCTTGTAAAATGAACCAAGTGGAGTTATGAGTCAAACTCGTGTCAGAATTCCGCATAATAACGTTCAGATACTTAAATCTTCTTATTTTATATTTTATCCAAAATATAAAAAAGATTTTTAGTGTCTTGCAGTAGATAATTAGTACAATGCACTATAGCAAAATTTTCACTGAACGCTCGTAAATAATTTGTAAAAACAAAAATAGAATTAGAAAAGATTAGAAAAGGTTAGAAAAGGTTAAAAACCTTACAATAGGAAGTCCTAATTCTTTAAATTTTAAATCTTCTTGTATTTTTATATTTTTAAAGATGATGAATATATTATGTTAAAGAAATGCGGAAATTTAAAGTTTTTACATCAAAAAACTTTTTTATATGAAATCATGAGGTAGCAACATCAGAATTATTGTCCGCAATATTTCAATTTTTATATACTATTTTTATTTCAACTAACGTGAAGTATTCTACCTAAACGGCATCAGCATTAAATCTCAAAAGGTTTATAGAGTTTTAAGGTTCGAATATAGAAGTTAATGCAGAGGTGAAAACTTGCTCTTGTTCCTACTGGATTCAGTAGTTATCTGTATCTTTTGCTTCCCTAAGGATTAACTATTTTGTTTTGGCTTCTAGATACCTTAGAGCATTTCTACTCGAGCAATGTTTACAATTTTAATGTTTTTATTTTCAATGTTTAGGTCTCCGAGTCTGTTTATGAGCTCATGGGAGCTGATATAGGAGAAAAGGTAAAATAGGGCAAGATAGGACAGGATAGGACAGGATAGGACAGGATAGGACAGGATAGGACAGGATAGGACAGGAAAGGACAGGATAGGACATGATAGGACAGGATAGGACATGATAGGACATGATAGGACAGGATAGGACAGGAAAAACAAGATAGGACAGGATAGGACAGGAAGTTAATAGCATTGTTATATTTCAGGGTAAGAGACAGTACGTTGACAATGTTTTCACAACAATGGATCTGGATAAAAACGGCGAGGTGTCGATAAAGGTGATTGATTTATATCATTAACATGTAGATATACGTGCAGGAATAAATATTATTTTTGTTATTATTTTAATAATTTTTTTCATCACAATATTTTTAGAAAACTTTTATATTTTCAGGAGTTTGTATCGTACTGCAGTAGGTCTGACCATGTTGTAAACTCTATACTAGTTCTAGTGTAAGCATAAACAAAGTTTGTACCGTACTGCAGTAGGTCTGACCATGGGAATTAAACCAGGAACCCCCATATCTTTGTTTACATAAAAAGGTGCTGTTATATCTGGGAGGAATGTAAACAAATACAGGCTGAGTAGTTCACATTTTTAGTAAAAAAAGGAGATTTCTGATATATTTTCCTCTATATCTGACCATATATTAAACCTCAATTCCTGTAACAATCTTTTATGGTCATTTTACTCCTTTCTAGAAAGCATATAAAAATTTATACAGCCAATTTCAGCTCATTTTGTTCCAACATATTCTTTTTACATATACAATATACATATGTATTAAAAAAAGAGTCTTACAATGTTTTTTCGTAGATAGATAATCTCTACAAACGCACTCTCAAGCATTTATGAAACTACAAATATTTCTTTTTGTAAATTTATCTTTTTTTTTGCATCATTTTCAACATAATTATATAAATTAACATATATCTTTCTCATCACTAGTAGTATCGCTTTGTAATTTTAGTTATTTCTTGTTTAATAAACAATCTCGCTTTCTAGTCTTTCTGTTTAAAAATGGCGAAACAGGCGAACCAAGTTTATCAATTTATTGTGTGAGTAGCTGAAAAGTGTGTGAGGGTTAAGGTGGAATGAATTAAATTTATATGTGCTCCAAACTATAGTTATTAATCTTCAGAAGCTAATGTTTCGCAGAAAACATTTACAAAATAGAAATGCAAAAATGCTTTTCTGTAATTCGCATTGTCAATTTTCAATCAAACCAAAATGATATTGGTATCAACTGATCGGAAATGATCCATAGATTGCAAAAATATACAATTTTATAAAATTAAACCATGATGAGTACAATACCTTAAAGATCGTTTTTTTGGGACACCCTGTATGCTTACAGGTTTACTCACAAAGGATGCGACTTTAAAGACGACTTGTTAAACTATAAATATATATATCGATCTGGAAGCTGTATTGTTTTTCTATGTTGTTACACGTCAGTTTAGAATAAAATATCAAATGATTTAGCAAAGAAAAATCAAGTTTACAAATGAATGTAGTAAAAAAACACTAAATAAATTTCGTACAGTCATCTCTGAAGTCTCATCCTTTGTGGTTAACCCTGTAGATTATATAATGTTCTCCCGTTTTTTTTCTTTAGAATTGTTCTTGTTCCTCGGTCCATTCTTCATATACATTATTTAGATTGTAAATATACAATATACAAGCTATAAAAGAACTGAAGATATCATATTCTTGTGACAATTATAAAACCTTTCATTTACTCTCTTTGTCGGAGAAGAAAAAAAATTGAGTCTGGGAAGAAATCATCATCATTGGAGTACTATTGAGACCATAAGCTTTTCATCGGAGATCCTAGATTTTCATTGGAGGCCCTAAGGTTTTCATCGGAGACCTTAGATTTTTATTAGAGGCCCTTAGCTTCTCATCGAAGACGTCTAGCTTCTCATCGAAGACCCCCCTTTTTTCATCAGAGACCGACAGATATATTTTTGAGACACCAAGATTTTCATTGGAGACCCAGTTGAAGTTTGGGATGGGTCTCAATAAAAAGCTTTGATTACAAGTTTGGGGTCTCCAATTAAAATCTTGGGATCTCCAAAAAAAATCCGGGGTTTCAGTTAAAAAGCTTCGGGTCTCCAATGAGCGTCTGGGGGTCTCCGATGAAAAGAATGGGGTCTCCAATGGAGAGCTTGGGGTCTACAATGGAAAGCTTGGTGTCTCCTATGAACATCTGGGGGTCTTCGAAAAGAAGGCTATTTGGGTCTTTGAAGGAAAATTGCTAACAATCAGCAAAAGACGATGGGTTGATGGTTAAAACTAATCTAATAAAAGCAGGTTTTAAAAATCAACATTGAATCAACCGGAATTTTGAACGCTGATTGATGTCAAACATTTTCTTATTGGCATAACAACAATCTTATTTTATTATTAGCATAACAGGAATCTTATTTTCTTATTGGCATAACAACAATCTTATTTTCTTATTGGCATAATAACAATCTTATTTTCTTATTGGCATAATAACAATATTATTTCCTTATTAGCATAACAACAATCTTATTTTCTTATTAGCATAACAGCAATCTTATTTTCTTATTAGCATAACAACAATCTTATTTTCTTATTGGCATATCAATAATCTTATTTTCTTATTGGCATAACAACAATCTTATTTTCTTATTGGCCTAACAACAATCTTATTTTCTTATTGGCATAACAACAATCTTATTTTATAATTGGCATTACAATTTAAGATTTAAAGCTAAAATAGAAATCTGAAAAGAAAATATTATGATTCTTTTCAATTAATATTTTAATCAAATTTTTTCAATTTATTTTTCGTTAAATAAAAACAATGCTTTCAAATAACTATTCATTAACTGGAAAAATAATTAAAAGAGTTTATACACTCAGAAAAAAGTCTAAACTCTGGTTTTGATTTATTGGAAAGTGAATTATGAACATTTTCTCATCTTAAAGGTACAGTTGACTTAATTCAAGTGTGTCCCTTCGTTAAATGAGTAAAATGTAGCTCGTCAGGGCACGTGGATTTAACGGTTCTGTCAATATATCAGAAAGCTGTGGCTTTCGATTACAATTTGAACCGTTGTACATAATATTTTAGCCTTTTCTTAAAATACTTTTTTGTCGGCGTATAGACTTTGAATGAAAAAGTATAAAATAAACAAATCCGTAAGTGTAAAGATTGTTGAATTATAGGCCAAAACACGTTTGATTTCAAATAAATGAAATTGAATGCTTCTCACTCTGGTTAGTCCGGGGTGAGGGGTACCTTTCAAATTCCGTAATTTCAAGTGATCTTTCATTTTAAAGAGGGACATCGCCGATTCAAAACTGTACCCTTTAATCATTCGACTGATCATCAAGGACATCGAGGACAGAGAACTCAGTGTTTATCTCTTAAATACGATGTAAAAAAGCCTTAAAATTGGAGTGTGCGCTGGCGTACTGAACGCGAGTGACGTCACATTTATTCCTGGAAAATCTAGAATATTCTATGTATATTGTCCAACGCGGTTTTTAATTATGCATCAGAAAATGTTTGTATGCTTGATCCGTGTCAAAAAGTTAAAGGGGTACTCTTGTGATTCGGGAGAATGCCTTCTTTAAACTTACGCTTACAGTCCCTTTTATCAATCATCTGAGTAACAATGGGAACCATATTGCCCTTTTTGCATCTTAAACCAAGAATAAATTCTGTCCAGTTCCTACCGTTTCTCTGCTACATAAATATGCAAGTCACTTTATCGAAAAACTTTTATAAGTAACTCTTCACAACAAGGTTCACTAAACTCCACAAATATCAGAAAATATTTGGAAAATATTTGAAAAAATATATTTGATGATTACAATAAAATTACATCTTAACATTTTTTAACAACCTCAGTTGTACAAATTACAATTATAACTGATTACTTGCCTCAAATTCTAATTTCCTGTACCTTAATTCTATCCGACCTGTTGTCACGAATGTTTGATAATAAAAACTATATCAATTCTTCTTTATCAATAAATCATAGTTTGAAATATATCAATGAAGGAAGAAAGAAAGGAATTAGAAATTAAAAGTTTGAAGCTAGTAATCAGTTCAATGTACATAATACATAATGAATATGGGCAAGTGTTTAAATGATGATTTGATACACATATAGAAACAGAGAAAGAAATTAATTTCGGGCTTCAGATCTAAAAACAATAGATTAGAAAATATTTTAGATAAAAATACGTACACTTTTTGTACATTGTACATAAACGGTACAATTGTTATTACAATAGCACGTCAAACTAGAGAAAATATATCACGTAAAATTGAAATCTTACATGTTTCCAATCATAACTCCAATAATGGAAGAACTATTGAGAAGAACAAAGCTAGAGAAGCTCAAGGTCAAAAAGCTGTACCCATGATGTCGCATAGATTTTAACTTCTACTTCTGTCTAGTTTCCAGTGATAGAGGCCAATTCTAATTTTAAAGAAATATTCAATTACTAGAAATTCAAGGCGCTTCGCGCCCTTCTTTCTAGGCTTTTAGGGCGCTTCGCGCCCATCTTCTATTTAAATTAGGAACATGTTCGAATTGTTCACATTTCAAAACAAAGATGAAAAAAGTTTTGCGGATTTTTAAAAAAAATTCGCGGATTTTCAAAAATTTAAATTTTTTACAAAATTAAAAACCTCTTAAACACAAATTTTTAAAATTTCAATCATTCATAAACCTTCCCTGGGTTCCCTAGATGTCCCACAAAAAATTTGGGCCCGATCGGTTCAGCCGTTTTGACGTTTATTGGATACAAACAGACAGACAAACAGACAAACAGACAAGCCAAATTTATATATAGATTTTGCTTAATTTAAAACAAGTCCAATTCACTCTATTGCTGATGTCAAAAATGTTGATTTCCGAGGTAAAGTTATTTTTGTTCATCAAATTATAATATCGCTATCCTTATGAATAGATGAAGAAGCTGAACTGACAAGATCAAACACTGGTTTAAATTGTAATGAGCATGTCATCGAAAGCTGAACTGGTCATACCAAGTTCAACCACATCTTTCTATTCATAAATTTACATCTCTGTCGCAATGTTAAAAATTAATATTGTTTGCTGATAGTTAAATAAACAATAATTAAAAGATTGGTTTAATAAGAAGTGGATTATAAGCTGGTGTGCGTGCACATCCTTTTCTAGATAATAAAGCTCTTCGCTCATATATATACATATATTTGTAGGTATGTATGAGTATGTATATTTGTTAGCTATAGCTGGCCACACGGCTGGACCGAATTGGCTGATTTTTTTAAGGAAACCCTTGGGGAAGCATATGCTAAAAAATTAGAATATATTTCAAAAATCGATTTTTAACGTTGTTTTCTTTAATATAAGAAGCTTTATAGTTTGTGAGTCAATAAGCAGAATGTTTAATATTGATTTTGATTCTTTTACATAATAAGCAGTAATAACCAGAAAACTCTGGAATAGGGAAACGACTTTCAGACTCAATTTATGACTTTAGATAGTGCAATGAACATGAGACAACACAATTGAGTGGTGTAAAAAGGCCCAAATGGCTTAACAACTGGTTTTATAATTTACTACAGTGAAACCCTTAATAACGAATACATCGGAAGAATTTATCAAATGTCGTCTTGACAATTTTTCAATGAGTTTTATACTATATTACGTAAATTTCAGTATTTGCGAAAATAAACAAGTAGCCATGAATATGCGGGAACAGTTTTAAAGAGTTCCATATAATTATTTAATTAAAAAACTTAATATCTGCAACATTCCATTATCAGAAAGTGAAGAATACGACATTTGATGAATTCTTTCGATGTATTCGTTATTAAGGGTTTCGCTGTAGTAAAACTACTTGCTTTGTAACAGCATCAAATACTATTAATTATTGCTTTAATGTCGTCTTCCTAATTTACAGTTTTCTGGTTATCACTGTACATGTCATTCGGAATTTAAAGCATTTTTCTTTTAACTTGATTTCAAAATTATTGTATTTTAGTAGTTATAAAAACTTTGCACTACAGTGAAGTTTATATTGAGAATTGTCGAGACTACTTGTATATAATACTTTATCAAATTTAAAGAATAAGTTTTAAAGGTTTTGAAAACTCAAATATTGAGACATCTTTCCTTTTTACCTAGAAGTCGACATTTTTTTAATTGAGTTATTTTTGACTTTTTTCTTGTAATAAATCGATGTTGTTTGAATGTTATTTCATTTTTGTTTTAAAATAAAACCAATTTGCAGAATATAGTGGAATCTATGCATATGGGATACAACTATTTGATAGTTTTCTGAAGTAAAAACGGCTGAACCGATTTGGCCCAAGTAGAATTGTTACTAGAAAAAGAGTTGCGAACAATGGATTGACTCTCTTTTGCGACAAATTCTAAATTTGAATCCCTTTATCCTTCTAATTTGATGATGCAAACCTTTGATATTCCGCGCCATAGTTACATTATTTGATCTACCAGATTTCACAGTTTGACATATCTACGGTCTATGATATTGGGTTGCAAAAATAAAGGGTTTAGAAAAATAGAGTTTGTGGCAAAGACTAAAATCCTTTCTATACTTTTTAAAAATTTTTTTACAATCCTTTTTACACATAAAAATGCAATGGTACATAAATATTTGTAATTATGAGCATGCTATTGCTAACATGTCAAAAGAACTATAAACTCTCCTCAACCGTAATATCTTTGCAAACTTATGCTATAGATGTTAGTTTAAATTATTGAAAGGACTGTAAGCGTAATTTCAAGTGACCCTCCATGTAAAGATGACAATGTTCGATTTACAACAGTACCCTTAAAAGCTTTGTCTATTTAAATACTAAAATATTAAAATATTAAGGATTAGAAAATTATATGTTTTATGCAAGTATTAAATTCTTTAAACAAGTTTTTATCAGAAATATTGTTTCTGTTTTTTGATTAAAAAACTAAATATATATTTATAGATCTTTAAAAACAACTAATCTGTACATACAGTGTACACTGTACATACAGTGTACACTGTACATGCACAACTTTAAGTGTACAATATGATAAAAAGCAAGCAACAAAAGTTGTTCTGATAAAAAATATCTTATGATACTGTTTATATAGTGCAGGATCAGAGAATAAAATGTCCGAGAATAAACCCGTCATTTAGCTGACTTTTCATAAACTTTTTCGATATTTTGTATAATCGAACAATTTTTCCGACTTTTTTCACCATTTCTCTGAACAATTTCTGGCACTTTCACTTTTAGGTTTACTTTGAGCATAACATTTAGTTCTTGGAACCTGGCAATACTTTAATTTTCACTTAACCAAAGTTTGTTAAAATCTGTTTTAGTTCCTACACAGAAAAATGCTTTAAAATGTTGATTTTGATGAGTTTATTTAGTTGAGCTTATTTAGTTCAGATTTGGTTTGGTTTTGGTTCAGTTTGGTTCAAGTCGGTTCAGATCGGTTCAGTTCGGTTCAGATCGATTCAGTTCGGTTCAGTTCGGTTCAGTTCGGTTCAGATCGGTTCAGTTCGATTCAGGTCGGTTCAAGTCGGTTCAGGTCGGTTCAGGTCGGTTCAAGTCGGTTCAGGTCAGTTCAAATCAATTCCTTTTTGTCTCATCGCTATAAGTTCGGGTTTGTTCAGTTTTGTCTGATCGCTATCAGCAGACTAAGGTAGAACCAAGAGAGAACTTGAAACTTGTTCATTTCTCTCACAGTAGGACTTAAACTCCTTCATTTAAACTTATTTTAGTAATCTTTTTTTAACATCATTGTAAATTATTTCTATTACTATTATTAGTATTCTTATTATTATTATTATTATTATTATCATTATTATTATTTAAATAGAAGAGAAGAAGATATTGATAATTATAGATTTGAAAACAGTGTTCAAAGAGTTCTTTGCCATTTTACCATCAGCTAATCCCCTTAACAGAAACATAATCTTTCCACCTCATATTATTATTATTATTATTATTATTATTATTATTACAGTTTTTATTCTAATATCACTATTATTATCCTTATCATCACTATCATTATTATTTTTGTTTTAAAATATAAGATTTAAAATAAGTTTATATCCCTGTAATGAAACCTCCCCATCTCCATCTAGATCCATGTTGAAGAATATATTCTCCACAAACTCAAGTTTACCCTGCAATACAGATATAATTAAACCAGGAAAAGGAGTTTTCGCCACAAACTCAAAACTTTTAATTCCTATATCTTTGCTGTCTGATGGTGCAAATTTAGATTATTAGATCTAACAGAATTCAGAGTTTAACAGAGTTTAAAATATCAAAGTTATGAGAATTGATTGCAAAGATAGTGGGATTAGAATATAAGAGAAAAATAGGGGTTTATCTTCTGCTTTAAACTGATTTATATACAGGGATACCCACAAAGGATGATACTTCAATGACGACCTGAAACTCTTTAAATGAAGGTTAAATTTGGGATCTGCATTGTATATTGTTCAATCTGAATCTCAAGAAGGATAAGGTCAAACTCATGCGATATTAATGGGAAACGACATAGTTACCCTTGTAGCTTCTTTAGTTTTGATCTTATGAGAAAACCTAATTTATCCGGTTAAATATTAGAAATTCAAAACATCTTTGTTGTTCTTATAAGCTCTTTAAAAAGACCTGAGGCAGAATTTAAAGAATTTGAGAATTTGATTTACTTTAGTTTGACTTGTGTTTTAATGTTTACTGAAAGACTTGCTAAAAATAAAAACAAGTTACACTGTAAAGCTTCAAACAAAGAAAATGTAAAAAGAAAACTAAAACAGTTGTCTCTGAAGTTTCATCCTTAATGGGCAATGGGTAATGGGTATTAGAAATTCAAACCTAAAATTTTTGTGTTTTTTGATGGACTAAAAAGCATCCTATTATATTGATTCTGAATAAATGGAGGGGTTATCCACAAAGAATGCGACTTTAAAGGGAGTGTTCGCGAAAAATGAAAGGGGGTATGGCTCAATGCGATAAAAAGCGCTTTTGATCGCTACTAACCTTACTTCTATCTGTTGCGTCTTTAAGGAGAAAATTGTTAAAGACGTCTCATACCGAATAACTTAGCGGCCATACAAATTGAGAAAATTGCAACATGCTACTTAGACCGTAAAAAATCAATTTAATTTCAAACAAATCATTCAGATATTACAACCTATGGTCATCGATTATCTTTCGCCACATTTGGATATAGTTTATATTTTATAATATTTAATATTTTAGAAAACGTTTTCAACGGATTTCCAAAATGGTGAGTGGTGTGCGGCATTCTTAGATAGTTGCGCAAGCGACAAGAGAAACAAACAAATTAATTAAAAAATATTATAAAATATTAACTATATACAAATGTGGCGAGGGATAATCGATGACTATAGGTTGTAATATCTGAATGATCTGATTGAAACTAAATTGATTTTTTACGGTCTAAGTCGTATGTTGCAATTTTCTCAATTTGTATGGCCGCTAAGTTATTCGGTATGAGACGTCTATAACAATGTTCTCCTTATAGACGCAACAGATAGAAGTAAGATTAGTAGCGACTAAAAGCGCTTTTTTATCGCACTAAGCCTATACCCCCTTTCATTTTTCGCTAAAACACTCCCTTTATGACAAACGGAAACGGTTTTATGATGACGTCCCTGACTATTTTCCTTGGTTAGGTTTTTAAAAAGTGTATATTTAATGATTTGGCACAGACAGAAACTAGGTTCCAGGGATCCTAAACTATGGATTCTGACTGGTTGCAGGGATCCTAAACTATGGATTCTGACTGGCTGCATTGTTCCTAAACTATGGATTCTGACTGGCTGCCGGGATCCTTAACTATGGATTCTGACTGGCTGCATTGATCCTAAACTATGGATTCTGACTGGTTGTACTGATCCTAACCTATGGATTCTGACTGGTTGCAGGGATACTAAACTATGGATTCTGACTGGTTGCAGGGATCCTAAATTCTGACTGGTTGTAGGTTTCCTAAACTATGGATTCTGACTGGTTGCAGGAATCCTAAACTATAAATTCTGACTGGTTGCAGGGATCCTAAACTATGGATTCTGACTGGTTGTAGTGATCCTAAATTATGGATTCTAATACGATAAAGGGATCCTAAATAATGAATTTTGATTGGATTCAAGGATCCCAAAACTAAGGATTTTATTTAATATTTAATCTGGTCTAAACCAATTTACGGTCAAGTTTATTAGTACTGCAGGGACTTAATAACAAACCTTTTCTATTAGAGGAAATCCTATCAGTTCATACACAGACTCAGATACCTAGATAGATAGATTATAGTAATACATTGGTTTCATCAGTTCATACACAGACTCAGATACCTAGATAGATAGATAGATTGATAGTACATTGGTTTCATCAGTTCATACACAGACTCAGATACCTAGATAGATAGAAATTAATACATTGGTTTTATCAGTTCATACACAGACTCAGATACCTAGATAAATAGATAGTAATACATTGGTTTTATCAGTTCATGTACAGACTCAGATACTTAGATAGATAGATAGTAATACATTGGTTTTATCAGTTCATACACAGACTCAGGTACTAAGGTTGGCAACTCTATATTCTCGATATCTTGATTTCTTTTAGATTGTTGATATTATCTTCCCTCGAGTAATTTTGAACCTGGCGCATTTGTTGATCATCACCTGAAGGCAGAGGTAAAGAAACTTCCAAGCTATATTGAAGATACACCAGATTTGTTGAGAGAAATAGAAAAGAGAAATGATTTGGGACCTCTACCTCCTCATGCTATTCCTGTATCCATGGATGTTGTAGCTTTGTATCCTAATGTTCCCTGGGAAGAAGGACTGGTTGCTCTTCAAGCTGCAGGAGAGAGGAGATTAGATAAATCAGTACGGACAGACTTCCTCATCAGATTAATGACAGTTGTCCTGGGTTCTAATATTTTTGAATTTAGAGACAAGCTGTATTTACAGAGGGAGGGAACAGCTATTGGGACCAGGGCAGCTCCCACATTTGCAAACCTATTTATGGGTTGGTGGGAGAACAAGATGCAGCAAGAATGGACTGGAACTGCATTAGAGTTTTACAGAAGATTTATTGATGACTTGTTTTTTCTCTGGCTTGGATCTAGAGAGGAGTTGGAAAAGTTCATTATCTATGTGANTAAGTTTTATGTGTTTTGACAATATTCATTTTGAAAAATTCCATTTTACATAAAAAGATTTTTATTTTTGTTCTCTTCTTTGTTTATTTTAGTTGCTGTGTTTGTATTTTTTATTTTTATTTTTTGCTTATATCTGTTATTTAATAGGACAAACTCCTGATGATGCCAAAGTTTTTGGCGAAATATATTGAGAAGAAAATGATATAATTCTAGTGCTAGAGAGTAGGGTTGGGATTTGTTTAAAAACGATCTAAAGGCGCCATTTGGATACGATTTCGTCCGAAAAAGTTCATTAGAGTGTACTCTGTATATATGTCTAATCTCTGGAAAGCCTATCTAGAGTTCCCCCTCGTTAGTTCTCTGTGTATGTATCTACTCTCTGCACAGCCTATCTTGATTTCCCTGTATATATATGTACTCTCTGGACAGCTTATCTTGAGTTCTCTGTATATATATGTACTCTCTGGACAGCCTATCTTGAGTCCTCTGTATATATATGTACTCTCTGGACAGCCTATATTGAGTCCTCTGTATATATATGTACTCTCTGGACAGCCTATCTTGAGTCCTCTGTACATATATGTACTCTCTGGACAGCCTATTTTAAATCCTCTGTATATATATGTACTCTCTGGACAGCCTATCTTGAGTTCTCTGTATATATATGTACTCTCTGGACAGCCTATCTTGAGTTCTCTGTACATATATGTACTCTCTGGACAGCCTATTTTAAATCCTCTGTATATATATGTACTCTCTGGACAGCCTATCTTGAGTTCTCTGTATATATATGTACTCTCTGGACAGCCTATCTTGAGTTCTCTGTACATATATGTACTCTCTGGACAGCTTATCTTGAGTCCCCCAGACCTAATTATGTAAAAGTGCAATCAATGAATAATAATAGAAAATCCTAATTATTTCTATTCAGTGGAACTCCAGGAAATTATGTATGAATAGATATACACATAAAGAAATATAATATCTATTTACAAATATGTTTACATATACAAACATATATATAACATATGGTACAGCATGTCATACTAAATATAGATATATACATAAAGAAATATAATATTTATTTACAAATATGTATACGGTAATGTTAAATCGTCTATACGCAACATCCCCCCTACTAAACTTCCGACCTACTAACTTTCCGACCTACTACAAAATCGGACCTACGCCAGCGGTTTATTTTTGTATTATTTGAGGGTTAGGATAGGATAAGACAATTTCTGGGCCGAGCGCTGCGGCTAGGACAGGCTACGGGGTCGAGCGCCGCGACTAGGACAGGCTAGGGGACCGGGAGCGGCGGCCACAAGTCCATATAGCAGCTGTAAAAAAGTGCAGTATAGCGGATTTGCGTAGGTCAAAAAATACACCATCATGTTTACATATACAAAAATGTTTATCACATAGGTACATCATGTCAAACTAAAGTAAACTGCCCGTAAGATTAAAATCCATTAAGTTTTCAATCATATCTCTTTTACTTGAAGAAGAACACAAGTTTTGAATTGCTAATATGTAGTTGAATAAATCTAATATGTATATGTAGTTGGATAAATCTAATATGTATATGCTAGTTAGGATAAATCTAATATGTATATGCTAGTTAGGATAAATCTAATATGTATATGTAGTTGGATAAATCTAATATGTATATGCTAGTTAGGATAAATCTAATATGTATATGCTAGTTAGGATAAATCTAATATGTATATGTAGTTGGATAAATCTAATATGTATATGTAGTTGGATAAATCTAACATGTATATGCTAGTTAGGATAAATCTAATATGTATATGCTAGTTAGGATAAATCTAATATGTATATGCTAGTTAGGATAAGTGTAATATGTATATGCTAGTTAGGATAAATCATACTAGTGCATAACATCAAATCTATAGAAGCTTCTAGGTCACAAAATCGTACCAGTAAAATCGTATACAAGTTTAGTTGTACCATAATTACACTTTTATATTATCAATAATTGATGTCTGATAAAAGCCTATACTAGTTTAACTTTGCTATATCTTTCTAATGATCTCCAAAATATTATACCCTCGCCTCTTCCTACTGATTTCATTATTTTGTCTGTTGTATTTTTCATAAACTCCGCCGCTTTTTCCCTCTGATTTTTTTTCACTTGTCCTCCTAAATACATGTGTTTTAGTGCTATTTTTTCACTTGTCCTCCTAAATACATGTGTTTTAGTGCTATTTTTTCACTTGTCCTCCTAAATACATGTGTTTTAGTGCTATTTTTTTGTAAGTTTTTAAACTTCTTTTAATATGATCTCATTCATGTTTCTATCTTCAATAAACTTTGTAAAACTAAACAATTCTAAATCCAAACTAAAACATTCCTGTGGTTCTGGATAACTTGAGGCAAATCGGTCAAGGAACTTCCGAGTTATGATCGGACATACACACAAACAGATATTACTACTTTATTTATAGATTGATAAAATCAAAAATAAATTCTTTAGAAAACTGTTACTTCTGGCTAAATACCAGACAGAGCCAGAGAGAGTGTAACATTTGTAAATAAAAAGAGTTTCTAAACTTTCTAAATATTCCTTAATATGGTCCGGGGATCAAATATGCCAAGATATGGTCCGGGGATTAAATATGCCAAGATATGGTCCGAGGATCAAATATGCCAAGATATGGTCCGGGGATCAAATATGCCAAGATATGGTCCGGGGATCAAATATACTATACCAAATCCTTCTAATCAACGCACCTATGTACAGAGCAGGGTGAGTCAAAAAAATTTAATTTTTATTTAACACCAAAAAAAATTCGTAAATAAATTTCCCCCTAAGATTAAAATAGCTCTTTGAGGATTAAAAAAAGAAATTCAACCGTACTTTCTTGCAGACATAACTTAGTATTTTGTTGAACACCCGTCCGTACTTTTTGCAAAAATGATTCTTTTAATATCTATCTCTAAGTTTTCATAAATAATACTATACAGTATGGTTAAGTGTGCAGCATACAAAATTAAGTTTGGTCTTGATACTCTAGCTGAATATTTATGAGCTTAACACATGAAGGGACTGCAAGTGACCCCTCCCCCTCCCTGCAGAAATGAGACTGACAGTACCCAATTAACAACGGTACCCTAAAAGCTTTGGCTAATCAGGTATAAATTAGGGTTGAATGTTCATAATTTTGAAAACTGAGTATTTTCAACTTTGGTTTCTCCACAAAATTGACTTGCACAATTTTACTGCAGGAAAAAATCAGCCTATAGAAAACGACAATATCATACACATTACTTATCAGATATCTTTTAAAGGGTACCGTTGTGAATCAGGCATTGCCATCTTTCCAAGGCATGGAGGGTCATTTGAAATTAAAGAGTTGTTGACTTATTTAATATACGGATAATACACATATTTTAGGAATGAAAAACACACCTGACCACTTACAGACGCTCTACAATAATTTCACTATCAGGAGATCGTTTTTCACTATCAGGAGACCGTTTTTCACTATCAGGAGATCGTTAATTTGGTGTACCGTCCCGTTTTGCAATATATAGTTTGTACGCTCTACAATAATTTCACTATCAGGAGATCGTTAATTTGGTGTACCGTCCCGTTTTGCAATATATAGTTTGTACGCTCTACAATAATTTCACTATCAGGAGATCGTTAATTTGGTGTACCGTCCCGTTTTGCAATATATAGTTTGTACGTAGCTGCTTAAAGGTATGTCCCTACTACAAATGCACTCAAGTTATTCTGGATTACGAATAACGAATAATAACATAAAATAAAGCATCAATTTCTATTTTTGGCGCCAACATGGATTTGAAATTTAGATCTAAAAATGAGCAAAAATATGTTATAGGAAACAGTTTTTTCTTCTTAGTTTAAGATTATTTTCAGATAGGAATACAATCTGTTTTCCTTATACAATATACATATCTGTTCTTAAGTACACAATAGCAATATAGGACTTTTTCTCCCCCCCCCCCCCCCTCCCATCTATATTTGGGAAGATTCAAAGTCGAAAAGGAGATTGTAAAAACTAATTTGATTTATGAAAACACATCAAATAAATAGATTTATTTTATATCTTGAATATATTATTTGATGAGGTCTAATCCTTGAATGAGAGCTTATCAGCATATCATTTATCGGGTTTACTTACAAAAATAAACCTAGAGTGACGTCATACATAAGATAAAAATAAAGACAGAGAAGTTTTCATAAGAACAATTAACCATCGTAGTTTATGGATGAGCACTAATATCAACATTTTAATATTTTATCTTGATGTTTTCCAGAGTATACTTTCACATAATATCCGAAAAATAAAATCAAAAAAAGAAAATTTGTTTTCTTGAATATTTTGTGTACAGTTGAGTGATGGCAGAAGAGCCACCATAGTACCAGTAGAAGTAAATATTTCCATTTTCTGATAGCGCCACTGATTGGACAAGGAGATAGATAGAAAGATAGATGTTACCGCAATATTATTTCTATTGGTTCAGATTAGACAACAAACACATGACTGAACCCTGATTGGATCAGGCGCTAATGGACTCAGCATACAGGAGTGAAGCACGGTATTATGTCCGATGGTTTATCAATCAAGTACTGTTGTACAATGTATACGTATACAGTTACCTACAGGATGAGGCTTCCTGCTACTCCAAACCTTGCAAACTATAATGGGACTGTAAAGTGACTCTCCATGCAAAGATGGTATAATGTCTAATTCTTAAATCCTTAAAAGGTTTTTCTGATCAAGTATAAATTATATATCAATGGTTACAATAATGAAAACGAATTATTTGTGGTGAAGCTGAAGAACAACCTGTAACCTTCGAATTGTCATTGTCAATCAGTTTTCAGTTGTCATAAAAGTCTTATCATTTGTGACTATAACTCTGTAGGTTTTCAACTATACATATTCTACTTGTCTCAAATGATTCCTTCAATCATGTTTTAAATAAAATGAAATATAAAAATAAAATAAAATTAATGCAAAAATAAATACAACCCCATGCGCTACTATTTAAATGCGGGTAAAATCTTTATATTCATACTTTCCGACAAGTCTGTCTGTTTGTTTCCTATAAACGTCAAAATGGCTGAACCGATTTTGTCTGGAAATTTTTTTACATTTATTATTTTTGAAAATGCACCAATTAGAACAAAAAAAATCCGTGTAATTATTAGTTTCACGAATTACAACTTAAACTTAAGCTTAAAGAGATACGTGTGCATCTTAAATCTTACAGACAGTGTCTAGCTCACGTAGAATTAACTTATAGCTGTTTTGATCCTGTTTCACCTAAATTGGGTAGAGCCTTTTATTTGTATTTTAATTCCGAACTCTTATTGGCTGGACTTGGCGTTAAATCGACCTTTAGAAACTGACAACATATTTTGAAGTTGCTTAAATAAAAAAATTTGTTTCATAATAAAATTTAAAAATATTATTGCACGGACTCAATAATTCCCACCAATGTAGATTTTTTCTATTTTTTTTGCGTCGCGTTGTACGCATTGCTCTACTTTCTATATAGCCAACTATTCTCATAGAAATCCCTAATTTCATTAAATGACATTCATGATTTTATGTTTTTATTTTTCTTAAAATCATGCTTATTAGATTATGTTTCTTTTTCCCAATTGGTAACTCTGCAGTATCTAGACTCCACCCTTAACAAGACCTGTGATTCTGCGTGAGCTAGACATCTAAAATCTGTTGTAGGGTTAGAATCAAAACTATGAGTATATTTCCAGGAAAAATCTGCTAAATTGTTCAGTCTTATTTCTATACAGCAAATGCAGTAGAAGATAAATTTAAACTTGGCTAATAATATTCAGAGAATAATATTCAGAGAATAATATTCAGAGAATAATATTCAGAGAATAATATTCAAAGAATAATATTCAGAGAATAATATTCAAAGAATAATATTCAGAGAATAATATTCAGAGAATAACATTCAGAGAATAATACTCAAAGAATAATATTCAGAGAATAATATTCAAAGAATAATATTCAAAGAATAATATTCAAAGAATAATATTCAAAGAATGTTTTATCTTATACCGCACCGACTTATATTATTACGTATATTATTTAGAAATAAATCGGCATATAAATATATAAATTATATTATTTTAAAATATTACCTTAATCATCTCATCCCTTGTAATCTTGCCATCCTGATTTATATCAAAGAATTGAAAACTCCAGAGTATTTTCTCATAGTCAGTTCCCTTCGTAATCACGGAGAGGAATTGCATAAAATCTCCAAATGTTATTCCTCCAGTTCTATTCCTATCAATGGCTCGGAATACAATCTGGGCGTATTTGGAAGCATCCCCCATTGGGAATATTTTCTCGTAAACTTCTTTAAATGTTTCTTCATCAATTATTCCGTTTGGACATTCTGTTTTGAATGCTCTGTACAAGAATTTTACTTCGTTCTTGGTAAATTTGGTCTCCAAACTTATCTGTTCGAGATCATTTGGTTTGTACCTAAAACAAAAGGTGTTAAAAGTTAAAATCTATTTTTACTACTCTGATAAATTACTATTTATTGCCTCTATCCTATAGAATTGGTGCAACGAAATGTAGTATACCAATAAAATGATTTGAGGAAAAGTTGTTGTTATAAAAATTTTGTCTCCAAACTTATCTGTTCGAGATCATTTGGTTTGTACCTAAAACAAAAGGTGTTAAAAGTTAAAATCTATTTTTACTACTCTGATAAATTACTATTTATTGCCTCTATCCTATAGAATTGGTGCAACGAAATGTAGTATACCAATAAAATGATTTGAGGAAAAGTTGTTGTTATAAAAATTTTGTCTCCAAACTTATCTGTTCGAGATCATTTGGTTTGTACCTAAAACAACCAAATATACGTACAACAAGAATTTTTTTAAATTGAAGAATTTACAAATCAATGTTTCTGCCACATTTTCTCTTGTTTCTACTGCAAAACAGGGCTTTTAGATAAAAAAATCAATTCGTGCCTAACCTCTAGATCATAAACCACACTAAACCCATTTCCCCATAATCTTAATAGACACCCCTTTACAAACTACCCCACCACCCTTACAGACCTTGACCCATACCTTTACAGCCTTATATCCTACCATCCTAACAGACGCATAATCCCATCACAACCTACCCCAATATTCTAACAGACACAGATTTCCTTTACAACCTACCCAACCATAATATCAGACACCTGTTCCCTTTATAACCTACCCCACAATCCTAACAGACCCATAATACCTTTATAACCTACCCCACAATCCTAACCGACCCATAATCCCTTTATAACCTACCCCACCATCCTAACAGACCCATAATCACTTTATAACCTACCCCACCATCCTAACAGACCCATAATCACTTTATAACCTACCCCACAATCCTAACAGACACATAATCCCTTTATAACCTAACCCACAATCCTAACAGACCCATAATCCCTTTATAACCTACCCCACAATCCTAACAGACCCATAATCCCTTTTTAACATATCCCAACATCCTAACATACCCATAATCCCTTTATAACCTACCCCACAATCCTAACAGACCCATAATCCCTTTATAACCTAACCCACAATCCTAACAGACCCATAATCTGTTTATAACCTACCCCACCATCCTAACAGACCCATAATCCCTTTATAACCTACCCCACCATCCTAACAGACACATAATCCCTTTATAACCAACCCCACCATCCTAACAGACCCTTAATCCCTTGATAACCTACCCCACCATCCTAACAGACACATAATACCTTTACAACCTACCCCACCATCCTAATAGACCCATAATCCCTTTATAACATATCCCACCATCCTAACAGACCCATAATCCCTTTATAACCTATACCCAACCATCCTAAAAGACCCATAATCCCTTTATAACCTACCCCACTATCCTAACAGACCCATAATCCCTTTATAACCTACCCCACAATCCCAGCAGACCCATAATCTCTTTACAACCTACCCCACAGTCCCAGCAGACCCATAATCTCTTTACAACCTACCCCACCATCCTAACAGACCCATAATCCCTTTATAACTTACCCCACAATTCTAACAGACCCATAATCCCTTTATAACCTACCCCACAATCCTAACAGACCCATAATCCCTTTTTAACATATCCCAACATCCTAACATACCCATAATCCCTTTATAACCTACCCCACAATCCTAACAGACCCATAATCCCTTTATAACCTAACCCACAATACTAACAGACCCATAAGCCTTTTATAACCTAACCCATAATCCCTTTATAACCTACCCCACAATCCTAATAGACCCATAATCCCTCCCCCATCCTAACTGCAGACACGTGATCTCTTAAAACAATGACCTTGTTGGCTGTAGTAACTCCTGTAGCACTGATTCACTTGTTTTCTCAATTGTTTTCTTTTTTCGGAAAAAACCTAAAATGAAATTTTGTAGTTTATAATCTCTTTATTCTAAATCATGAGCAGTCTCTTCAGGCTAATTCCCTTTTTATTATTCCGCAATGTAAAGAATTCTGAAGTGAATATACATACTTCTCTGGAATAAAATATTTAAAGGGACTGTTTTCGTTTTAAAAAAAGTTCACTTAAGATTTTTAATTTTTATTATTTAATTAATTGCAAGAAACTATATTTGGTGGATGACGAATAATTCACAAAGTTAGAAGGTCCACTATGGGAATCGCGTTCAGTCCCTTTAATGGCTGAATTTATTCTACATTTAGCTGTATATTATTCCTTGAGAATGATATATCAAGATATATATATTTCTAGTTAATCCAACTGTTTGAGCTAAGAAGGATGCTTCACATAATTGGGATATTAATTCAAGTATTATTTAATATACTAGGCTATCAGGGCGCTTATCGACCCCCCATCTTTTATTTTAACTTTTAATTGTTGCTCAATCTTATAGCATTTTCTCCTCGTAGAAGCAATAATAAGATTTGATTTTCTTAAGCAACTTTTGTAACGCATTCATAGGCCTTCGCTGGGGTCTGGTGAGCTCCCACAGGTTTAGCCGTTTTCACGTAATTGTTTAAAAAACGGTCTGACCAAAATTTTTAGCTGCCTCTGAATGATAATTAGATATTAAATATTTACTGTAAAATATTTCTGTGCAATATAATGTTATACTAAAACACTCTAAATGTATATTAATGTTCATAAAAAGTAATAAATAATGTATGCATTTAATCCTGGTCAGTTCGTCAGTGGGAAATCCCCGCAGCTTGTGTATATACATAGACCCTGTATATCCCGCAGCTTGTGTATATACATAGACCCTGTATATCCCGCAGCTTGTGTATACATAGTCCCTGTATATCCCCGCAGCTTGTGTAAACATAGACCCTGTATATCCCCGCAGCTTGTGTATACACATAGACCAGTGGGAATAAAAATCTCCCCCCCCCCCACACACCCATCTCATTTTTACAAAATGCCGATGGGCTTGAAACAATTTTTTATAAGAATTTTAACACTTTTGTAAAACAATAAAGGTTTGTCAAGGTTAATAAACTTTATTGAGAAGGGCAAATAGTTTACAAAGTTTTCATTATCTAGGTAAACAATAATAAGAACGGGGGGGGGGGTGCTTAGATTTTTTTGACTAACTGCATATGCTTGATCTTATTTAAATTACTTTTTTTTTAATTTATTTAAAACATAATTTCTCATGGTAAATCAAAAATATAATTTTTTTTCAAATTGAGTTTCAGATTTGGAAAAAGCTGAAAAAAGTTGAAAGCTCATAATTATTTACTGTAAAGCCATTAAGAAATCTGTGTGTAGACGTAAATTTCATTATTAGAAAAATGTATTTTGGTATTTTCATTTTTAATCGTGTAAATATCATAAACCCAGTAAGGTTTGACATTTCTTTTCATAATGTACCTGTAAACAACTTCAATATCGATTGTTTCGTCCATTTTGAATGCGCAGCTGACGTTTTCAGCTGATTTTCAGAATCCACTTGTAATTCGTCCATCTTAACAGTAAAAAATATAATTCGTCTTACTGAACAGTTTGAATTATAACACAAACATATCAACATATCACAATATCTTAAAACGTTAGTTGAAACAAAGTTAAAAAAATCAGCGCTTTAAGACTTGAAACCAAAAGTTTAAAAAAGTAGCCAGAACAAAGCTTAGATCCAAGGTTTTTACACCAATTACAAATCCAAAAGAACCCTGTATGTTTAATATACTTTAAACTGGCGTGTAAATATTCGTGTTTGATCTTATATTACTTTATTGAAAAATTGTCAATATGCTAATTTTTAAATTGCTAAAAAGTAAATTTTAGAAAATTACAATGTGTGTTGAAATAAAATGAATTTATTTGTTACACCTGAGTTGAGGTAGTTGAAGGAGGTTCCTCCATCTTTTAAGCAAAAACCTAAAAAAAATACTTTTAAAAATAGGTAAAAAGTTCTATTTTTAAATTAAAACAGAAGCTTTTCTTCGAAAATTTTGGGATTAGAAAATTTTTGAACTATTTTGGCCGATTTAAGTTTGAAATTTTTTTAGCAAATATTAAAATTAAAATGTGTTATTTTAACATTTTTCAGATTATAATTTTAATAATAACATTTTATTTAATAATTGCCAATTATGCATATCATGATATTCTATTACAGTTTAAGCAAGAAAATTTTAAAATCATAAAAAAACCTGAACCTGGTAATAGTAGGACTGGGTTTCCTAGCTAAAACCTGGTAAAAGTAGGACTGGGTTTCCTAGCTAGAACCTGGTAATAGTAGGGCGGGGTTTCCTAGCTAAAACCTGGCAATAGAAGGACGGGGTTTCCTAGCTAACACCTGGTAATAGTAGGACTCAGTTTCCTAGCTAAAACCTGGTAATAGTAGGACGGGGTTTCCTAGCTAGAACCTGGTAATAGTAGGACGGGGTTTCCCAGCTAAAACCTGGTAATAGTAGGACGGGGTTTCCTAGCTAGAACCTGGTAATAGTAGGACGGGGTTTCCCAGCTAAAACCTGGTAATAGTAGGACTGGGTTTCCTAGCTAAAACCTGGTAAAAGTAGGACTGGGTGTCCTAGCTAACACCTGGTAATAGTAGGACTGGGTTTCTCAGAAAAACCTGGTAATTGTGGGACGGGTAGAATCAATTCTATAAACTTTCATGTTTGCTAGTCGTTAAACTTTAATCAGGCTATTCAAGGGAATATTTACTTATTTTATGACGGCCTCTTAGAAGCAGAATGCTAAACATAACATTATTTTTAAAAAAAGAAAAGATTATCTGGACTTTTATCTTATTCATGTTTTTTTGTTGTTGAAAATATCAAAGACAGGATTTTGATATTTAAAAAAAGAAAAACGAACCCAAACTAAGATTATCCAGGCTTCATTGGGGAATAAACTATAAAGTGAATTATTTATCTCTAACGTAGATTAAATATACATAAAATACCTAAATTTAATCTAAAATTCTAAATCCACCAAAAAATGTGTAATCCACTATGTGTATTTCCAATGTTAAGCTCAACAAATTATCGGGAGTATATGAGGTAGACTGTCAAACACGGGATACATACAAATACATTCTACAGGCTTTTAAATCACTAGAAATAATAAGCAAAACACAAAATAAAGGTCCAAACCTTATATTTCTCAGGCCAACAGATTATAAAATTTGTGAAAACATATCAATGGTTTTCTTTCAAGTTTACTTGGAGTTTATTCAGATTCTTCTCAAAATGAGCTGAATTTTACTGTGAGTGGGAAATAACCTTATCTACTAGATAATTACTAATTATTTGCTGGTGACTCCTCTTAGGATCCCTTTAAGATTACATAAACCTCAAAACTAACCTCCTATGCCATGACATTAAGAAATTTTCTTGATAGGGTTTTAAGAAGATGATTTTTCCTCCTTACAGTGAGAGGAACACATAAACCTACTTTTTATTCACAGCATAGAGGATATTCAGTACACAGCTAGGTATTATTGTTTTTTGGCAATCCGTTAAGTGTAAGCAATTCTCCTAGTGAATCTGAAGGTAGATTTAGATTGAAATCCCTGTTGACTGTGCTTCAAGGCAAAAAGTACCGGAAATCACAGTTGTCTGGCCTTGCAAAAACCGGGTTTTTGAGGTTTTGTGAATGGGGTATTTCAAGTCCTAAAGATGCACTTCCAATTTTTTATCATCATGTAAAGGTTAAAAAAATACGTTTTTATATAAATAGACCCTGTATATCCCCGCAGCTTGTGTATATACATAGACCCTGTATAACCCCGCAGCTTGTGTATATACATAGACCCTGTATATCCCCGCAGCGTGTGTATACACACGGACCCTGTATATCCCCGCAGCTTGTGTAAGCATAGACCCTGTATATCCCGCAGCTTGTGTATACACATAGACCCTGTATATCCCCGCAGCTTGTGTATATACATAGACCCTGTATATCCCCGCAGCTTGTGTATACACATAGACCCTGTATATCCCCGCAGCTTGTGTATATACATAGACCCTGTATATCCCCGCAGCTTGTGTATACATAGACCCTGTATATCCCCGCAGTTTGTGTATATACATAGACCCTGTATATCCCCGGAGCTGTATATACCTAGACCCTGTATATCCCCGCAGTTTGTGTATATACTTAGACCCTGCATATTCCCGCAGCTTGGGTATATACATGGACCCTGTATATCCCCGCAGCTTGTGCATATACATAGACCCTGTATATCCCCGCAGCTTATGTATATACATAGACCCTGTATAGCCCCGCAGCTTCTGCATACATAGACCCAGTATATCCACACAGCTTGTGTATACATAGACCCTGTATATCCCCGCAGTTTGTGTAAATACATAGACCCTGTATTTCCCCACAGTTTGTATATACATAGACTCTGTATATCCCCGCAGTTTGTGTATATACATAGACCCTGTATATCCCCGCAGCTTGTGTATACATAGACCCTGTATATCCCCGCAGCTTGGGTATATACATGGACACTGTATATCCCCGCAGCTTGTGTATACATAGACCCTGTATATCCCCGCATTTTGTGTATATACATAGACCCTTTATATCCCCGCAGCTTGTATATACATAGACCCTGTATATCCCCGCAGCTTGTGTATATACATACACCCTGTATATCCCCGCAGCTTGTGTATACAAATAGACCCTGTATATCCCCACAGCTTGTGTATATACATAGACCCTGTATATCCCCGCAGCTTCTGTATATACATAGAGCCTGTAAATCCCCGCAGCTTGTATATACACATAGACCCTGTATATCCCCGGAGCGTGTGTATACATAGACCCTGTATATCCCCGCAGTTTGTGTATGTACATAGACCCTGTATATCCCCGCAGCGTGTGTATACATAGACCCTGCATATCCCCGCAGCTTGTGTATATACATAGACCCTGTATATCCCCGCAGGTTGTGTATATACATAGACCCTGTATATCCCCGCAGCGTGTGTATACATAGACCCTGTATATCCCCGCAGCTTGTGTATATACATAAACCCTGTATATCCCTGCAGCTTGTGTATACACATAGACCCTGTATATCCCTGCAGTTTGTGTATATACATAGACCCTGTATATCCCTGCAGCTTGTGTATATACATAGACCCTGTATATCCCCGCAGCTTGTGTAAATACATAGACCCTCTATATCCCCGCAGCTTGTGTATATACATAGACCCTGTATATCCCCGCAGCTTGTGTACATACATAGACCCTGTATTTCCCTGCAGCTTGTGTATATACATAGACCCTGTTTATCCTTGCAGCTTGTGTATACACATAGACCCTGTATATCCCCGCAGCTTGTGTATATACATAGACCCTGTATATCCCCGCAGCTTGTGTATATACATAGACCCTGTATATCCCCGCAGCTTGTGTATATTATTATTATTGTAAATGGATTAGTAGAAGGATTTGGTGGACATAAAAGGGATAAAAATAATGAAAAGAGAAAGATAAGAAAGAAAAGATTACTAATGTAAATTGCACGTACGTAAGATAAAAATCTAAAATGTTTTTAATCATAACTCTTCCTGAAGAACTAGTAAGAAAAATGTTTTGAATTTCTATAATATAACTGGATAAAATATTTTTTTCATTCTTGGACCTACAAGGTCACAAAGTTGTACCGGCAATGTCGCATAAATTTTATTTTCTCCTTCTGTCCAGTTTAGTGTTGAATGCATAATAATAATATATAATTTTTTTCCCAAATTTTTAAAGATTTTTTTTCCAAATTTTTTTCTAATTTTTTTTTCCACGGGCAACGCTGGGCCTTTCAGCTAGTTAGGGTATAATTTGATATAAAACTATTGAAAAAGAATGCTAATTAAATATGTAATTTTAAGTAAAAAAATCATGTCAGATTGAAATTTTTAGCATTTTCAATCATAGCTCCTCTTCTTGAGGATCTATTGAGGAAAAGTTTTGAATTTCTCATATACGAAAAAATAAATCTGTTTTCCTCCTGGTTTAAAACTAGTAGAGCTAGGTAACAATATTGTTTCAGTAAGGAATTGAGTCTTTGCTACAAACTCTAATTTTCTAATCACTATATCTTTGGAACCAAATTTTGCAGACCTTCGATATTTCAAACTATGAATTCTGTTAGATCAAATAATCTGAGTTTTAAATATCAAAGGTTTACAATATCGGGTTCTAAAGATATTGAGGTTTAAATATTTGATTTTGTTCCAAAGAATCAATTCCTTTACCTACGTTTAGGTTTGAAGTCAATTAACTATAACTTACTACGGAATAATAATAATATTGCACAATGCACAATGCACAATGCACATCTAAATATACTTCACATCCCTTAGTATAATTTTATCTTTTGATGTAGCTCTTTTTTTATTTAAACTTTAGAAAGCTAAAAATTTAACATTTTTTTGTGTACATTGATGTCTATCCAAAATAGTTGATAATCAACATTTTTCAATTTTGATTTCCATGAGGTCTTGTGAGATAAAACCAAAATTGGACTTGATCAGTTCAGCCGTTTCGACGTGTTTTTTTTGGATAAAAACACCTTATACAAACACAAGCCAAATATATATACGTAGATTGTAGATTTACCTTATTAATAGCACACAACTAAATTCATTTTTCTGAAATATAATATAATGTAATAATAAAATTATTTTTTTTAAATTCCTTTTATATCCAAAATTTAAAAAAAAATTCACGGGCAACGCCGGGCACTTAAGCTAGTATGTAATGTTTACATAAAGAAATTGAGTCTTTGCAACAAACTCTGATTTTCTAATACCTTTATCTTTGCAACCCAATGTTGTAGACCTTAGATATTTCAAATTATGAATTCTGTCAGATCAAATAATTTAAGTTTGAAATATCAAAGGTATATATAGTCAGGTTGCAAAGATATAGGGATTAGAAAATTAGAGTTTGTAACAAAAACTCAATTTTACGTAAGTAAATTGTACGGTTTATTTTCATTCTCATTTCTTGTAATTTAATAATTTATTTATTGTAATTTAATAATGTATATATTGTAATTTAATAATTTATTTATTGTAATTTAATAATGTATATATTGTAATTTAATAATTTATTTATTATAATTTAATAATTGTCTAAATAGTTTGAACAAGTTAATTAGCTGAGTGATTTAAAACATTTTAGGATTGTTATTAATGATACAAAAATCTCATGTTAAACCCATATTTGTATTTGTAAAAAATAGATCAATTTAACGGAATTTCTGCAAGAAAATACAAAAAAACTTTCATATAATAAAAATGTTTGTTCAGGGTTTATATTAGCTTTTTCTGTGAATGTTTTCTACGTTTAAATATCAGTTTATTTTTTGGGTAATTTAACTTTTTACATATATTTATAAAATCTGTGGATGATATTTCTAGAGCTTTCATAACATATCAATGTAAAGTTTCATCAATTTTTCGGCTCTTAAAGGAATTGGATTTTAACAAATTAAATTAAAATTATTTAGAGGCAAAATTGTTTACAATGACTAGTCATACACCTTTCTTGTGGTTATGTGAGTTACCACAAAAAAGAGCCTAATCAATTCTTTAGAATACCAGTTCTCAAGATTTCTGTCGAAAACCAGTTATTCAGAAAAGCAGTATCAAGAGTTCTCCAAAAAACCAGTATCAAGAGTTTTCCAGAAAACCAGTTTTCAAGAGTTCTGTGGAAATCCAGTTATCAAGAGCTCTACCGAAAACCAGTTATCAAGAAATCTGTGGAAAACCAGTTATCAAGAGTTCTACAGAAAACCAGTTATCAAGAGTTCTGTGGAAAACCAGTTATAATGAGTTCCCCAGATAACCGGTTGTAAAGAGTTATCAAGAGTTTTCAAGGGAATCATTTATCAAGAGTTCTCCAGAAAACTAATTATCAAGAGTTCTCCAGAAAACCAGTTATCAATTATCAAGAGGTCCCTAGAAACCCATTTATTAAGAGTTCTGTGGAAAACCATTATCTATAATTCCCTAGGAAACCAGTACTCAAGAGTTCTCTAGAAATCAGTTATCACGAGTTCTCCAGAAATCTGTTCTCAAGATTTCTCTAGGAAACCAGCTATCAAGAGTTCTCTAGAAAACCAGTTATCAATTATCAAGAGGTTCCTAGAAAACTATTTATCAAGAGTTCTATGGAAAACCAGAAAACCAGGTATCGCGAGTTCTCCAGAAAACCAGTATCAAGAGTTCTCCAGAAAATCAGTTATCACGAGTTCTCCAGAAAACCAGTTATCAAGAGTTCTCCTGAAAACCAGTAATCAAGAGTTCTCCATAAAACCAGTTATCACGAGTTCTCCAGAATTGTTTAAAACCATGCTAATCTTAGAAATGTGTGCCTGTCTAATAAATCAAATAATATTTAGTAATGTTTTTATACAGAATAAATTAAATAAAACCTAGGAAAAGTTTAATTTAACAAGAAATGAGAATTGCAGAGTGTGCTAAATCTATTATTTTGGGAACCCCAGCACAGACATATTGTAAAAGTTTAAAAGAATCTAAAAATAATTGTTAAAAATATATTTATTTTATTGTAAAAAGGTTTTTTTAAAGATATTTACAAAATTGTACTAAATTATTTTAATAGTGTTACAGTATTCCCATTTTTCCCACTTTGGGATTCTATGAGACCCGAGACCCTCCCCTTGGGGGGGGGGACGGGGATCTCAGGACCCCGAAAACCCCAATTGGGAAACAGCACTCCAACTTTTAATATTGATATTTTCAAAATAATTGGTATTAGAAATAGTCTGTACATTCTTCTTATAAAAAAATTATGGCTCATTCAGGATGTCCCATGAAACATGACACTTGAAAGTCGTCTTTAATCTTTGAATTATTTGTGACATTCAGTCATCAACCTACCTTAGCATGTGTGATTCTTGAAGCAATAACCACAACAATCTCCTGGGATTTCCAAAATGTGGTCTGCCTTTTTTTGTGCAGTCAATATTTTCGGCGATATTAAGAATTTCGTTCAGATTTCTATTTTATTAAATAAAACCAAAATTGTCGGAAAATGAACAAAATTCTTTTTATCTAGGGTAATATCTAAAAAAGTCAGACCACATTATGGAAATGCCAGGATTAGGTTTATTTTGTGATAATTATCCATAGAATTTTATTTCTTAAACTAGGTTGACAAATAAATACAGCAAATTGGATAACAAATAGAAGACGGCCTTCAAGTCGTCTTACTACTCTCATGTTTCGTGGGACACCCTCCATATTGATATTTATAAGAGGAAGATTTTTAGGATCTTATTGTCATCCCTTGGAGGATTTGAGAGTGTAGACTGTAGAGTTTTTTTTTAAGTATTCTTGAGAGAAGTTTAGGAATTATTCCTGGTAAACTATTTATAATATTTTTATTTAATATTAATTGTTTATTTATGACTTTTATTATTTGTTTAGTTTTTAGCTCACTCAAATCATATAATATAATATAATATAATATAATATAACTTCTAATAATCATCTTTTACTTTTACAGCTGTGTTCTGTGTATGAGTGTAGTACAGTGTAAAGTTTGTATAGACTAGATTCAACTTTTTTCCTTTCAAACTTCAAACCAGATCTTGCTGCAGATAAAAGTGCTTGAAACATTATTGCTAGAAACAAAATTACTAGAAAAAATGCCAGTAATTATCCCATTAATGCCCCCAAAACATTGTTTTCAGACTGATTAGCACCAGCTGTTTTTATTGTTTATACAAATATTTGCAGCCAAATCTTTAGATGAATATCTTTAAAAATGTAGTAAGTCAATAAACATAAATATATATATATATATATGTTATGGATATATTAAAATTTTTAATATATATATTAAAAATCCCTCCAAAATTATAGTCATTCAAACTTAGATGTCTTTTAGATACTGTATTTTATAGTTTGGATTTAAAACTTAAGGTAGTTCTTAAATTCGGGTACAAGTATCAGTAAAGTTAAGTAAATCTGAACAGTTTCGAATCGTTTAACTTTAAATTGTCTGATATCCCTATAAATCAATATTTAATAATTTTTGTATATATGTAATCTTCTATCAAAGAAGGGAGCGAAGGCAAAAATAAAATTTTCTATAAATCATCACAATGTGTCAATATTATTTTTAACAAAGATAAAAAGCAAACTTCAATCTAATAAAAACTTACTTAATTTCTATCGGAAGTGTGACGTAGGGCATCTGCATATCCCGTAAGCACACGATATAAAAGACTCTCTAAATAAAACGACCGTGAAGCGTAAATTTTGAGTTCTGCCTTAAATTTTTTAACTAATGGTATATTGATCGATTTGAAAAACAAAGAAACAAGTTTAAAGTTTAGCAAGAAAAAATCCGTACAGTTGTCTATGAAATCTCATCGTTTTGAGGGTAACCCTGAGTTTGCCACTGGAATAGACAATATATATATGCTATTTTAATCCTTTCACACATCTCTTTCTTTCTAATTCTGAGCATCAAGATCCTTTTTAACGCATGGAGAAAGAAAAAATCCTAGATTTTCAAATCCATTTTTCTTCTCTTGAAAACAAACTTCTCAACAATTTACCTAGAGAAGTTGATGAAAGATTGAATGAAATGTTTTTGTTCTAAACCTGATAAAAACCTGACATTATCTTTCTAATATTAAACCTACTCCGCAGCTCAACAAATATACAAAGAAAATATGGAAATAAATAGAAAAGTGAAGACGTAGTTTTAATAAACTCTCCTTTAATAAAGCTGCATGTCTGATTTACAATTGTATCCTTGACTCAACGCCTTGTCTGATCAAGAATTCATGGATTTATACTATTTTGCGCATTTCTGCCTCAGATATAAAAAGGAATTTGCAATAATTTAACACTTTTAAATATAAAAACGCAACGTGTTGTATTCCGGATTGTTTGATATATCAGTGAACAGTCCCTTGAATCCAACAGGAAGCCAGATGGATCAGTACATCCCGGACCGCTGCAGAGTAGACACAAGTCTCCCTGCACATAGCCGTCCTGGGACTTGTGCTATATACAGCGCACAGATAGCATACAGAGAGAACCCTTCCGGACGAGAGAGAAGAAGATGAACCGAGTTCCAGTCATCGTGTGGAACCCTGCCTACCTAGAGGAACTGGAACCAGAGGAGAAGTTGTTCCAGTAGAGGAGTACAAACCCTGGTCAGCCACCAGCGGTCCCTGATGATGTCCCAGCTTCAGATGATGAGGATGTGATGGGAGATGTTCCAGAGGATGCTGAGGAGGATACTAAGCAGGAACTCCAAGATGCAGTCCAGAGCCTATCAAGGTTGAATGATGGGCTCAGGAGTGTATTGTCCCTTAGCAGGGACACCAGCTCACCACAGCATACTGATGTCCCTAAAGTTGATGTATGGGACACAGGGAAGGCTATTGAGCAGGAGTTCAGGCTATTCCCCAACCCGACCAGGAAAGGGTTGAAGGACCGGCTTGATAACCAAGTATGGAACTTGCTTCAGCTCATACAGGAACGAGTTGATCAAGGAACCTACAATGATACAGATATTAGACTAGTAGATGGATTACATGTCATATCTGTCCTACACGCTAGACTCGGTATCCTAACTGAGATAGCGCTTAAACATAGAGCT